TAGTGTTATCTAATTCGTTTTACGACACGATCGCGATACGACAAATCGTATCCCAAAATCGTACGTCAACTTGAGAGCAAAATTGGCGATATTTATTTCGAAATCATTGAAATCGCTACCCTATGTGTAAGGCGGTAAGGTCCCCTCCGAACAAACCACGATCGTTCTGATTACAAAGTAAGAGGTCGTCTGCGTATTTCGTATTAAAATCAATAATCGACTCTTTGGAGGTAACGCGACTAGCGAAGCCATTTGAATTGCTTGATTTTGTTAATTTAGTGTCACTTCAAGTTCATACGCTAATGTCGGCTTATTGAGCGTTTAGGGTTTGTTAAAGTTCCGCGGGCGGGGTTTGGGTGTTTGGGAGAGATGAAACAAAGTCACGGGACGTGACTTCTCGCTTTCCTCCAAAAACTCCACTGAAGTCTCAGCAAATAACCACCTTCTGTGAGATGTGATGAAATAGAGACTCAGTGGGATTTTATCTTTATGCAGCCAATGATCGGAGGCGCTGGAGGGACATTACAAGAAGTAAAATCCTGTCGAGATATGATGGCCCTCAGCAGTGAGGAAACGACGCGGATAGAGGATTTTATCATTTTTTTTATTGCTTAGATGGGTGGACGAGCTCACAGCCCACCTGGTGTTAAGTGGTTAATGGAGCCCATAGACATTTACAACGTTAATGCGCCACTCACTTTGAGCTATAAGTTCTCAGGTATAGTTACAACGGCTGCCCCACCCTTCAAACCGAAACGCATTACTGCTTCACGGCAGAAATAGGCGGGGTGGTGGTACCTAGCCGCGAGGACTCACAAGTGGTCCTACCACTAGTAAATCTCATCACATCTCACTACGTTTCATTTAATTTCATCCCCAATTCATTCAAGTCTCAAATAAATCAACTTCATCTCATATCGGTCCGTAATATTTTCCATAGAACATAATATGTAATAAATGACCCAAAAAAAAAGGCCCTAAGCTGGCAACAATGGCTTCGCACAGAAGCCAATACTGAAAAAAAAAAAGACGGACTAAAGAAGTTCTACTTCTGTGTCATCTGATACATTTATTTATTACAGGAACGTCCGTGATAATTAATCTATTCGCGAAAACGCACATTGAGATCGGAAGCAAGAATACTTTGTCAAAGTATACTTCAATGTTTAAAAATAAAGCGGATGCGTGTTGAATTGATCTTGCCTTCTCTCTCGCACGCCGGCACCCACGGCGCTGACGTCATAAGTCGTTACACGCAACCTTTCCTTGTCATTGTTGCTACCCCCGGATTACTGGTTTAGAAATCGGCCCCAAACTCGTCGGAAATTTATTCAAACTGGTCACAGCTTTGAAACAAAATAAGAATATTTTCAACATCTCCCTGATCTAAAACTACGCTATACTAAGCAGTTAGATTTACATATATACGCAGAGACCATCACAGCAGCAAAGCCATTCCCGATCCTGCGGACAGAATGGAAAGCAGTCGACGTCGCCCCAAACACGTCATCTCGGATCCTCCCGATCCACTAACGGTGCTTTTAGGTACTTCAAGCACCGGTCACCGTTCTCGTCGAACCCGTCGCTTGCGACGAAGGGCTCGACGAGTAAATTAGCCCTCAGACACAGCCCACTGAGTTTCTCGCCGGATCTTCTCAGTGGGTCGCGTTTCCGATCCGATGGTAGATTCTGCGAAGCACGGCTCTTGCTAGGGTTCGTGTTAGCAACGTCGTCAGGTTTGAGCCCCATGAGTTCACCTACTAATTAAGGTTACGCTGAAATCAAGGCTCTCAGCTAAGGTAGGAAAAAAAAACAGCAAAGCAATTGGACTAAAACATCGTCTAAAGACTAAAGATGCTGCGACGTGACTAGGCCATTTCAAATCCAAGCGACTGTCCTCAATTACAATAGGCCAGATTGAGCTGTGGAGCTTTTGATATTTTTGTGGTAATTCAAAGCAGACGTAAATTATTTATGCCTATATTTACATCACTGCTTTCCTCTGGTATGCAGGCCTCGAATCTGAAGTACATAACGCAAATTTTTTGAGACTCTGCTTCTCCTATACTCCTGTTCGTAGGTGTAGAAGATGAGCGAAGATGCGCCAAACAAAAGTACAGCAAAGAATTGAAATAGCAAGACAATCTTAGCTTGATAAGCGAGGGATCGTGTGGAAGAAAGGATTTTGGTATGCACCTAACTCGCCATGTCCTATTATATTGAAAGTTTCCGTTTGATAATGATAAAAAGGTTTGCAGCAGATACCACCAGCCTATATAGCCAGTCCACTGCTGAACATAAGCGTCTCCAATCGATCTCCAGTAAGGCCGATCCGTCGCCGCCTACATCCAACGTGATCCAGCGGTTTTTACTGGGTCATTGGTCCACGGCTTGCCCACTGCCACTTCAGCTTGCTGATCTTATACTATAACCTTTTATTATATATGTCAGCGCAACGTCATTATTTGGTAAACTAAAAATAGTTAAAGTTAACCGTTTCCTTAATGTTACGCATGTAAAGAGACTAAGCTACCCCCGCTATTCTACTATATAAATACGAGTGACTATTGTCGCACAAAACATTCAGACTCGAGCAGCCGAACCGAGCGGAGCTCTCTGCTGTTATCGCTGTACACTTGATTGGAAAAGTGACTCTTAATTATTGTCACTATGGAAGGCAATGATAATGATGGAAGGGAATGGCGTCACCGTCGCTATCATCATTTTAAAAACACCCACCAACCAGCCTTTTTGTCATATATAAGATAGGTTTAGGGGAAATGCAACGTCTTTAAAAAAAAAAAAATTTTAACGCGAGCGAACTCGTGGTGCTCGACTATATGATTACAATTCGATACGTACATACATATGGACAAGACCCTTGGTGCTGTCGATAACTACATGACGCACCGCCCAATGTTATATTTCATAATTTATTAGATTGTATAATATATAATATATGTTATCCGGAACCCATGACTTCGCACGTTGCGATGCTTCTCTGTAGAAATAGGCCAAGGGAATCTCGGCGTAGAACCTATTGACCCTATATATCGAGGGACGCAAGGCTATTTGGTTTAAGCAAGTTCTCGCTTAACACGCGACATTTATCTTTGCAATTAAAGTCGCGTTTTATTTTGTATTAGCATATCAACAGTTCGATATTTTTAAATGAACTTCAATTATCCATTCAAACAGCTGAAGTTTCATTGTTATCAATTATTTCAGGTAGTTGAAGTTTTAATGTTATGAATTATTTTCTAAATTTTAAACTCTAAATGGCGAGATCAAATCAGAAATGAGGAGATTCGCAGGAAAACCATGGTAGCCGACATAGCCCAAAGGATTGCGACATTGAAGTGGCAGTGGGCAGGACACATTGCTCGCAGAACGGGGGCCAGAAAGTTCTTGAGTGGCGTAGCGTGGGTAGGCCTCCCACAAGATGGGCCGACGACCTATTGAGGTTCGCGGGGATCCGCTGGATGCAGGCAGCGCAGGACCGGTCTGTGTGGCGAGGCTTGGGGGAGGCCTATGTCCAGCAGTGGACGTCCATGGTCTGATAAGAAGAAATGGCTCTCCTGTAAAGTTGCTAAAATGACCTTTAAACCAAATAGCTTTTCACCCCTCGTTATTATATGCACATGCCGGTCGTCACTCAAGACTAAGCTGACTATACCACATTGAGTTTGCGATCCATTCGCACCGATCTATATATAAAAACAGTTTAAACACCATTTTCTCGTCTGCTCATCAAGGGATTATCACCTTTCTTTCGAGAAACGTCAATAACAAAATCAAAAGAGAAAATGTAATAGTTCATATGAATCTAAGTCTTATGGTAAACGCGATTATGGTCGAATTTCGCTCAACCGGTGAACGCTAGTTTCGATAAATACAACACACAACGTGCACTTAAACACCGTCAATAGAAATCTGTTAAATTTGATTCCAAAAAAAATATGTTCAACATTTTTATCTGTTCTAAGAACACGCTGTATGTATTGGACGCCATGATGGATTCATTACGTCATTATATACGTCAAACGTCAAAATAAACACTATGGTGGCACTAAGATTCTGTTCTTGTCTATGAATAAAGCTATATACCTAAATGCATTTATATCGACATCAATGACTTTATCTTTAGACGAATAAATCTTTATATATATATATATATATATTTCTGCTCTGCGTGTGTTTGTCACTGAAGTCCTCCTAAACGGCTGGATCGATTTGAATGATTTTTTTTTGTATGTGTTTGGATGGCGCCCTGGATGGTTTAGGTTCACAAATGAGACCGGCAGATGGCGCTGCAGTCGGTATCTAGGTTATTTATCTATACTACAACGACTTGAACGAATTTTCGCAGGACAACTTCTGTCGGGTCCGCTAATTTAATATAATTTAACTAGCTCTTTAAAATATTTCTCACTCAGTCTTTCAATTTAGTACTCAATTTAGTATCAAATATTTTTTTTCTTGGTTAACTTCTGTCGAATGCTTTCCACGGGTCACCATAATATAATTCGAACAGCTCAAATCGTAAACTTCCCAAACTTTGTTTCTAAGGTCATTGACATAGTGACGTCACGAATCAAACATGGCGTACCGGGTTTTCGCGCGCTAAAAAAATTTTTTTTTCTGTTTAACACATACATAATTCTTCACCGCGCGTATAAATCTTAATATCCATCACAGATGAAGAGTTTATAGTCGAGTTTTTTTTTATAGTTCTCTTTAATCAAAGGTCAAAAAAAGAAAAATCTCAGGAGATTCCGTTTTGCATATTTTTTTTGTCTCTCTCTCTCTTTCTCTCTCATCTTACATTTATTCATTTACGTTGTAAATATACCTTAGTAACTACTAAGCGTCGACACTATTTATAAACTTTCATTTCGCTAAAAAAAAAACAAAACGAACCAACTTTACAACAATTATTTCATGTTTTGTCCCATATTTTAGTTAGTTTTTTTTTCTTTCTTGTTTTCTTTTTTTAATTATGTTTTCTTTCTCTCTCTTTTTAATCTATTTAATTACTTACATCCCTCATTAGTTTAATAATTAATTCTCTATAACGTTTAACTTTTACAAAAAAAACGTAGTCTCATTGTGGTCTTAGAATGTTACCTGGAAAAGAATAATAGGTTTGGTCACTAATTGCCTATGTATTATAATTTTTAAGCTTGTTTATCCATTATGCATAGTACTGTAAATCTGAGACCTTAGAACTCATATCTCGAGGTGGGTGGCGGCATTTACGTTGTAGATGTCCATGGGATTCGGTAACCACTTAACATCAGGTGGGCCGTGAGCTCGCCCGCCCATCTGCATTTGAGATATAAGTTCTAAGGTAGCCCATCCTTCAAACGGAAACGCATTACTGCTTCACGGCAGAAACAGGCAGGGCGGTGGTACCTACCCGTGCGGACTCACAAGAGGTCCTACCACCAGTGATTACGCAAATTATAATTTTGCGGGTTTGATTTTTATTTCACGACGTTATTCCTTCACCGTGGAAGTCAATCGTAAATATTTGTTAAGTACGTAATTCATTAGATAAACTGGTACCCGCCTGCGGGATTCGAACACCGGTGCATCGCTAGATACGAATGCACCGGACGTCTTATCCTTTAGGCCACGACGATTTCGATATACAGGGTGTCCCACAAAGAATGGATAATCCTGAAACACCTCAGCTTTTACGTTGTAGATATCTATGGCCACCGGTAACCACATAACATCAGGTGGGCCGTGAGCTCGTCCACCCATCTAAGCAATATTTTTTACAAATTTAAATTAGTCTACTGTAGAGTTCACGCATTGTCGCTTAGTCACGTTTGCCTTTCAAGCGTCGATATGTATACTCCGCGCGCGAGCTCCGAGGATTCGGGGGCTGAGGAAGCGGGCGGGCTTGCACCGCGCCCGACCGTCGCTTCATACCCCGCACTCTCCCAGTACTAGTGTTGACCTTAACGTGACGCTAACCGACTCGTTGTTTTTAATTTTGCGATAGCAGTGTTAATTACGTGTGATTTCTAATATAAATAGTCTTACACTTATAAGTCTTTTTGTTTGCACAAATAGCTATTTAATTTGATGAAAAAGGAATGGCGAGCACTAGCATAATAAACATGTCTTAGCATTAGAGGAATATTTCTGGCAAAAGGATGGCTTAATGGAGGACGTTGTCGAATCATTTATTATTGAAGTATGTGAGGAGAGTGACATCAAGACGAGAGTACATCAAATTCTTCAACTACTGATTAATCTGATTGCGAGAGTAATTAATAAGATTTCACGTTCATTTTCTTCAATAAAAATCAGTTCATTAAATGAAATTCATACGTGACAAAAAAATTTTTTTCAAGTGCGTAATACCCTCATAAAACTATTTTATAATTTACACTCGCACGGAGGCTTAAGATGTGATGTCGATAGCGCAATATCGACTAATTACAACACTAACTTATTACGTCAACATTCCTTAAAAATCCTCGGAGCTCGCGCGCGGACTGTATATGTGTGTGGTCGTACCGGGGGGCGGCGCTAGTCGAACAGGTCCCTATCTGCGGGTGAGCGCGCGCGCGGCGGGGGCGAGGCGCCGCTGTAGTTGAGGAAGTCCCACACGAGGATGGTGTCGTCGTGCGACGAGGACACGATCTGGAACTCGTCGAACTGAAGACGGAACACGCGTCCCGTGTGCTCCTTGACCGGAAACAGAGACCTTCACTTAAATACACGTAATTACATTGGAGAATACTTAGTGATAAACAGCAGCGGCTTAGCGTCTGGTGTGCTGATGTCCACGGGCGACAGTAACCAACCACCATTAGATGGGCCTTTTACTCATTTACCTAGAAAGACAATTAAAAAACAATACATTAATAAGGTAATTATTCTTTTTTTTTAATACTGTCAATTTATATGCATCAATCAATCAGTGAACTTTTGGTTACTTTTATTTTTTGGATGATGGATTACTGGTGGCCCGAAGGTCTTTCGAGTTTCACTAGGATAGATCAGTAAATAAAAGCTCAGCCAGGAGTGGGTGAGCAAAGACTCAGCCAGGAGGAGTGGGTTTTGCTAACAGCTACCCGAGCGCCTCCGAAGGAGACCTAACAACTCAAGAGCAGCTGCTTCGCGAATGAATCTACTATCCAAAGAAGATCGAGGACGGCACTTTGCTACCGCCTGACCTCCCGAACACTCACGACTAAGGTCCGCAGACAGAGGTCCTGGTGCGGCGTCCGCACGTCCAGCGCAGCCGGGAGGTCCCACACCTTGATCTTCCCGTCGTAAGCGCCGCTCACGATTCGCTTATTGTCAAACCTGCAAACACAAAATAAGTCTTACAAAAAAAAAACGCTTTTATAAAAAATTTCACTAAAAAATAGAAAATAAATTTGAATTAAAATTAGTGTAAGAAAAATTAATTTATTGTAAAAAAACCGTGGGGTGCATGGTCATCATAATCAGTAGTTATAAATATTTTATGAACAGATATGAGTACTTCTACTCAACTCAACTGAGATGAAATTAATCTTAGTAAAATGGTGGTCATTTACTGAGATTTTTTCAGTGGACTTTTTGGAGGATCCCGAGAAGTTACGTCCAGCGACTTTGTTTCATTTTCCCACATTCGTGCACTTTTACGGATATTATAAAGTTAATAACCCACCGTCATTACACATTTAAATTTGAAGAAAACTAAATAGACTAAATAAAATAAATCACAGACCTTCACATACACAGTACAGATACCAAAACAACATTTTTTATTTTATTTTGATTATCTGTCTGTTTGTTCCGGCTAAACTCTGGAACGGCTGGACCGATTTTGACGAGACTTTCACTGATAGGTAGCTGATGGTATAAGGAGTAACTTAGGCTACTTTTTTTAGACTAGCTTCGCCCCGCAGCGTCACTCGCGGTACGACAATAACCGCGAGTAACATCGCGCGACTCAGCTATCAATAAAAACACACTGAACAAGTCGGGGACGCGAGACCGCGTGGAGCGCTCCGTGATTTATCGGCGCCACTCGGAGCCGCTTCGGCAAGCCGATCGCGGCACACTTATTAAGCTATTGCATAGCTTTTATCGCGGGCCTTGAGCGCGGCGACCGAATCATGAAATTCCGTAACGAAAATAACCTGACACCCCCACTCCGCCTACCATGTAGCTCGCGTTCAACACATTCACACGTTGCGCTCGTGTACTGTTTGTGAATAAGCGCGTGGCGTCACGTCACACTGCATGCGCATCATGAAAAGTCTGCCCATCTCTCTCTCGCGCGGTCTAGCTTATGAGTGTGAAGGGGACAGTTAAGGTTTTGCTTTTGTTAATGTTTATAAATATAACGTGGGCTTGTTTTATTATTGTTTTAATATTAAATTATCATTGTCTAATTATAATGGCATAAGTTGATAAAAAATGCTATGCAATAGCTTTACCGCGGCAGTCCCCGAGTGCCACACGTTTTTTTTTTTCGTTTCATTTCATTTCGTTTCATCGAGTTTGAAATCACAACGATCCTAAAGAAGTTTCACTTCAATAATATTTCCGAAGCGAAGTCCTCGCTGTCTGACTGACTGACCGTATGCAGCGCACGAGCTCCTCGTGCCCCTCGAGCACCCGGATGCACGAGCCGCACTCGATGTCCCACAGCCGGATGGTGTTGTCCGAGGACCCCGACACGACGAGCCGGTCCCGGTACTGCAGGCACGCGATCCCGCGCTTGTGCCCGTTCAGCGTGCGCACGAACTCGCACGACGACGTGTTCCACACCTGCACGACGCGACAAATGAAACACAAAAGAAAATTAATTATATACATTTACTAGTGGTAGGACCTCTTGTGAGTCCGCGCGGGTAGGTACCACCGCCCTGCCTATTTCTGCCGTGAAGCAGTAATGCGTTTCGGTTTGAAGGGTGGGGCAGCCGTTGTAACTATTCTTGAGACCTTAGAACTTATATCTCGAGGTGGGTGGCGCATTTACGTTGTAGATGTCTATGGGCTCCAGTAACCGCTTAACACCAGGTGGGCTGTGAGCTCGTCCACACATCTAGGCAATAAAAAAAAACTTAATTCGAGGTCTTCCTAAAAAAACACATTTTTTGGGTTCGACGGTCCCTATAATCCTAAAAGTGTGATATCTCGACTTGATGAGGGCGATGTGAAGCAAAATTTGCATAATTACGTCATTAGATCACAAGCGGATACTTTTTTTTTTCCTACCTAAGCTGATAGCCTTGAGAGGCTATTTTAGCGTAACCTTAACTAGTAGGTGAGCTCACGGGGCTCAAACAAGACGACATTGCTAACACGAGCCCTAGCAAGAGCCGTGCTTCGCAGAATCTACCACCGGATGGGAAACGCGACCCACTGAGAAGATCCGGCGAGAAACTCAGTGGGCTGTGTCTGATGGTTAATTTACTCTCCAAACCCTTGAGATGCTTGTGGTACCTAAAAGCACCGTTAATGGATCGGGAGGATCCGCAATGACGTGTGAGTGATGTTGTAACAATACGTACTTTTATAGTTCTATCACCGGACGCACTGACAATATATTTCTCGTCAAAGTCAACGACATTGACAGCGGCCCTGTGTCCCACCAGCACTCGCCTCAGCATTATCTCCGTCGTCGACGTCATATCCCATACGGCTATCGAACGATCCTGAAAGCCGCAAAAACACACCCTTTATAATAACTATTTATTAATAAAAAAAAAACAGTGTGGCACCCGGGGACTGCCGCGGTAAAGCTATTGCGTAGCATTATTTATCAACTTATGCAATTATAATTAGACAATAATAATTTAATATTAAAACAATAATATAACAAGACCACGCTATATTTATAAACATTAACAAAAGCAAAACCTTAACTGTCCCCTTCATACTCATACGTAGACCGCGCGTGAGAGAGACGGGCAGACTTTTCATGATGCGCATGCAGTGTGACGTCACGCCGCGCGCTTATTTACAAACAATACACAAGCGCAACGTGTGAATGTATTAAACGCGAGCTACATAGTAGGCGGAGTGGGGGGTGTTAGGTTCTTTTCGTTACGGAATTTCATGATTCGGTCGACGCGCCCAACGCCGCGATAAAAGCTATGCAATAGCTTAAAATGGCTTCAAGTTCAGACCTCGTTAGGCTTCGGCACCGAGGGGACCAAGCGTCAGGCTCACCTTGCTGCAAGTGACCATCATGCCGTTACAGAAGCGCAGGTGCAGCACCGCCTCGCAGTGGTGGATGAGCGTGTTGAGCATGGCGCCCGTGGACACGTCCCACACGCGCACGGTGGAGTCCGACGAGCCGGATATGATGGCGCGCTCGTCGTACTGCAGGCACAGAACCGACCCCGTGTGACCTTGGAGCTCCTGGAAGGACGAAGACATACAGATGTAGTGTGAAATTATTTTTAGAGATGAAACGGATATCCGGTAACTATCCGGTATCCGCCCTATCCGGCCATTTTTTCTATATCCGGCCTGATTTCGGATAGTAAAATTTAAGAAAATCTCATAGTTCTACAAAAGGCAAATAATACCAAAAAAGGTTATGGATAACTTTTATTTTTATAATCGGGTAGGTACCACCGCCCTGCCTATTCCTACCGTGAAGCAGTAATGCGTTTCGATTTGATGAGTATCGAGCTGGTGTTGTACTATAAAAACTGAGGCTTAGAAATCTTGATGTGTCGAGTTGAGCTGACAACGTTTATGTTGTATATAGACGACTTTTTGGCGGAAACGCGAGGAATGAAGTTGTGTGATTTGTTTTATTTTGTCTATTTAATGTTTCTTCAGGTTTAAATGTATAATAACGGTGGTTTATGAACTGTTTGGTATAACTGTGAAAGTGCATAAATGTGGGAAAATGAAACAAAGCCGCTGGACGCAACTTCTCGGGATCCTCCAAAAAGTCTTCTGAAAAAATTTCAGTAAATGACCACCATTTTACTAAGACTATAAATCATCCCATATCATTTTATTGAATTTCATCCCAGTTGATCACAAATTAATCATCTTCATTTCATTTCAATCCATATTATCATTTTTCATATAAAAAAGTTATCATTAAAATTAAAATAACACTTGACCTAAAGGTCTTAGTTACCAGGTCATAAATCCCTTAAAAAAAAAACGTATATAGACTTCAGTAACCACGTCCTCCGCTGAGTGTCATTCCAGTCGCAGTCCTAGACTTGTTTGTAATTTATTTCCATACTCACTCTGACGCACTGCAGTGTCTTTCTGTCCCATATTTTTATTGTGTTATCTCTAAGGCCCGATACTATCTTATTGTCGTCGTACTGTAAGCAATATACGCCTTTGGAATTCTCCGATCTGCAGTTTATCCTCTGTAACAGAAATGAAAAAAAAATGTAAATAATTGAAATGGTGATACGGAAAGAACAAAAAAATTTTTTTTTCAACTCTTACACATCTTTTTCCTCACCACTACTCAACAATTTGTACAAACTAGAGGTCCCGCAGTAGTCGAAATTGGATTATAATTAATTGAAATTGTAAGTTTGTACACTATTATGATTCTATTATCAAAGACTATTACACTTCTATAATCACAAATTTCGCCAAGACTACACTATAGAAAAATATTAATAAAGACAAACAATATTTAATCTATTCTCAATTTGACCATAGACTTTATGCAATAAGAAAAGTTTGACAATAAATAAATAGTATGCATGTGTGTGTGCGTCAAATACATAGTAGTGTGTGTAATGTTTTTTGGAGTTTACTCCTTTAGAATCGATTTACATATATAGGCCCGGGGTATGAAAATTATGGGGACCAAAATCGTACTAGCATGTCACACGAAATGCGTTATGCGCCTGATTGGCTCCTGATTGCGTGATGCGTGCGCGCGCCAATCAAAATCGTACTAGCATGTCACACGAAATGCGTTATGCGCCTGATTGGCTCCTGATTGCGTGATGCGTGCGCGCGCCAATCAGGAGCCAACGCGCGGCCGCGTTATTGCAGGTGACGCCGGGCTGCTGCGCCGGCAGTCCGCCACAAAGCCTCGTACTGATCGCGCGTTTCTCTCATTATTGTATTTTCATATATTTGTTAGTCGTTTGTTTTGTGTCTCGTTAATTTGTTAATAATCTGTAGTGTATCGTGTTGTCGTAATATAGAACTATTTCTCGTATTGTTTCGTTTAATTTTTTATATCCAGTAAACTCCAGTCGTGCGTCGGAGCGGACACACACACTTTTTTTTATTGATTTAATGTATTTTTTAGTCATCATTTAAAAATATATTAACATTTTGCACTCCTTCTCTGTATTCTCTATAAGTGTGAGAAATTTCATACTCCTCCGTCCGCGCAATTTTCGTAAAAAGGGATACAAAGTTTTTCCTTCACGTATTAATTTATAGATTAAAAATTTGACAACAATCATAGAAAAAGATAAGTTATCTATTTACTTATAATACACAGAGCTAAATGGAAATGATTTTTAGGGGGGCTTGGAGGGGCGTTTGGGGGGTGAGGCAACAAAAGTGCCACAGTACGTTGGTTAAGGATCACCGTTTCATGTATTATATCTATACATATAAATAAAATTAGAGTGTCTGTTTGTAATATTGAAATAACCGCTTTTTACTACATGCATATGAATATATATACGGTACATACACCAATATAACATTTTTTACAATTTTTGTCTGTCTGTTTGTTCCGGCTAATCTCTGGAACGGCTGAACCGATTTCGAGGAGACTTTCACTGATAGGTAGCTGATGATATAAGGAGTAACTTAGCCTACTTTCTTTAGACTAGCTTCGCCCCGCGGCTTCACCCGCGGTACCACAATAGCCGCGGGTAACATCGAGGGACTCGGCTATCAATAATAAAATTTAATGTTTCGGCAGCGAAGCGAGGGCGGGTCGTTAGTTAATTAATAAACATTAAAGCGTGTATGTATGTATGTATGTATGTATGTATGTATGTATGTATGTATGTATGTATGTATATATGTATGTATGTATGTATGCATGTATGCATGTATGCATGTATGTATGTATGTATGTATGTATATATGTATGTATGTATGTATGCATGTATGTATGTATGTATGTATGTATGTATGTATATAATTTTTGTAACTTAATATAAACTAGAGGTCCCGCAGTAGTCGAAATTCGACTATCATTAATTGGAATTGTAAGTTTGTACATTATTATTATTGTATTTTATAGTTCTATAAGACTACACTATAAAAAATATTAACAAAAACAAACAATATTTAATCTATTCTCAATTTGACGACAGACGTCAAGAACAAAAGTTTGACAATAAATTGTATGCATGCATGTGTGCGTCAAGTACATGGTATGTAGTGTGTGTAATGTTTTCTTTATTGATTTAATGTATCTTTTAAGCATTATTTTAAAAATAATATTAGCATTGTGCACTTCTTCTCTATATTCTATATAAGTGTGGAAAATTTCATACTCCTCCGTCCGCGCAATTTTCATAAAAAGGGATACAAAGTTTTTGCTTCACGTATTAATATATAGATTTCATTGCACCTACCACTATTTACTCTGCACTAACTTTGGTTGACTGGTAGAGAATGCCTTAGGCATTAAGTCCGCCAATGTAAATTTTACATGAAGTGTAATAAATAAATAAATAAATAAATAAATAAATAAAGCAAAATAATTTTTACCTGTAAATTATGTTTTCCCATTCTCCAATTGTCCTCTATAGATTGTATGTCCTTTATTATCTTGGGATATAGTTGTCTGTAGAATGAGTGTGACGGATGTTGGCAGCCGGGCTTCGGTTTGAACAGGTACTGTATCCTGGGGAGGGAGAGCAGATACGTCATGAGTTGCTCACACGACTCATTTCCGAGGACTCTCACATAATGTCAATCGGATGGAAGAAACCAAAAAGTGTAAGTCGCGGCCTAAAGGATAAGACGTCCGGTGCATTCGTATGTAGCGATGCACCGGTGTTCGAATCCCGCAGGCGGGTACCAATTTTTCTAATGCAATACGTACTCAACAAATGTTCACGGTTGACTTTCACGGTGAAGGAATAACATCGTGTAATAAAAATCAAACCCGCAAAATTATAATTTGCGTAATTACTGATGGTAGGACCTCTTGTGAGTCCGCACGGGTAGGTACCACCGCCCTGCCTGTTTCTGCCGTGAAGCAGTAATCCGTTTCGGTTTGAAGGGTGGGGCAGCCGTTGTAACTGTACTGAGACCTTAGAACTTATATCTCAAGGTGGGTGGCGCATTTACGTTGTAGATGTCTATGGGCTCCAGTAAAGGTCATCATGGAGAAAGGCTATAAAAAACAATGATGACAATGTACCAGGACAACATGAAACAAGGAGCTAACTCACCATCAAGCTATATTAAAAAAAATGACAATGTACCAGAACAACATGACCACAAGGAACCAAATCACCATCCAGCTATTTAAAAAAAATGACAATGTACCAGAACAACATGAACACAAGGAGCCAAATCACCATCCAGCTATATAAAAAAAATGACATGTACCAGAACAATATCGACGGCAAAAAGCAAACCTGCTGTAACCCACATCAGTCACGATTTTTTTTTATTTCATATTTGGAATCAGAAAAAAAAACTCAGTCGAATGGTTCTATTCCCGTGGCTCAACGACGATTAGAAATTTTTGTACAGCAATAGAATTAATCCTATTTTTTCAAAAATACAACTGGTTACTTGAAGTAAATAACATGAAAAACAGCATTTTCCTAGCATTTGTTATTTACACCAACTTTGCTTTTCCTAATAAAGTAATCATTGTAGTTACAGCACCGTTGTACGCTGGTTAGTGCGGCTTACAGCAAAATTGCATATTATTTTTTAGCAAGGTACCACGTTTACGACATTTAGTATATAATAAACANCCAGAACAATATGAACACAAGGAGCCAAATCACCATCCAGCTATATAAAAAAAAATGACAATGTACCAGAACAACATGAACACAAGGAGCCAAATCACCATCCAGCTATATAAAAAAAAATGACATGTACCAGAACAATATGAACACAAGGAGCCAAATCACCATCCAGCTATATAAAAAAAAATGACAACGTACCAGAACAACATGAACACAAGGAGCCAAATCACCATCCGGCATTATAAAAAAAAACAAAATGTGTGCAATTCACACGTGGTAGAAGTGAAACCTTCCAAAATTAAAATACAATTATCCTAAACGTCTTAAGTACCTATATGTAAAATTTTGTCATTAGTAAATAATTGTAAGGTAGCGCCCTCTGTGAATTGATATTTTAATTTCACGTATAATCCTAAATTAAAATTCGCTACAAGAGCTTTCATACACACGTTAGTATTAAAAAATCTCACAGATGGCGCTGTATTAAATAGTATGTATATTTCTGTCTCATTCTTTGCTGGCTTCATCCTACACATTTTTGTATTTGTGTCTCTTACCTGTCGTTTTTCCGTTGCATCCGGTTTGAAATCACAACGATTCTAAAGAAGTTTTCACTTCAAAAATTACAATGTACCAGGATAACACGAACACAAGGAGTCAACTCATCATCCGGCTATATATAAAAAAAATGTCAATGTACCAGGACAACATGAACACAAGGAGCCAACTCACCATCCCCTCCGCTCGGCGAGGCCGCGCCACAGCGAATCCGTACGGACCTTCCTCTCGATGAGTTTCTTCCACAGCATCCCTTCCGATATCACCCTCAACCACTCGCGGCAAACCAACTCGGCCGCACATAGAGAGCTCGCGTCCAGGTACGATAGTATGTTCTCTGCGACGTGGTCCAGGCCTTTTTCTGAAAACGAGCGTGTATCAATAATTAGCGGACTCGGCGAACTTTGTTCCGCCACACGGTTTGTTTCAAACACATTGTGCCGGCTCATGTCAACGTCCAGTCAATCGAAGTCCGGCACGGCACTCGGACACGTATACAATAAATAATTATGAGTGATATGACTTTCCTTTGAGACTGACCCACCCGTAACTTTGCACAGTGGTGACCCCGTGCCGTGTCGATAAATTAAATAGTTACAAACAGTGCCAAAAAGAATAATAATATAATACAATAAAATGTCATACGAATCGGACATTAATAAAAGTGAAGTGGGGCAGATTACGGTTACATCGAGAATAGCAGAGTTCTGGGAAGATCAACCCAGGACGTGGTTCATACATGCCGAGTCAGACCATCGGAGTCCGGCACGGCACTCGGACACGTATACAATAAATAATTATGAGTGATATAAATTTCCTTTGAGACTGACCCACGCGTAACTTCGCACAACATCAACTGGTCAACTTCAAAATTCTTCTATAATTAACCATAGAACTTTTAGTTGTCAGTTGCGTTTTGTTATACTACGTTTTACGTCACGTCCCACGGGAATGTGATAAAAAGTATATCCTATATCCTTCTCCTGGTTCTAAGCTACCTCCTCACCAATTTTCAGCCAAATCAGTTCAGCCGTTCTTGAGTTATAAATAGTGTAACTAACACGACTTTCTTTTATATATATAGATATCAGTCGTATATTTGTTATTTACACAGATACGTCTTGGCCATACTGGATACGCTTTAAAGCCGGTGAAATTAAAAAAAAGAAGTTAAACTATTCTTACGCCGGTGAGAGTGACGCCATCTATCACCAAATAGCAGAAACGAATATCAATAACTAGTAACATCGAGAACGGTCGAAAAGTACAACGCCATCTATTGTCATATAGTGGAAACACGCATCGAAGCCACTCGACTTGCCTAGAATGTTCTCGATTAATCTAGGGATGTATCGACTATAACAGCGTAAAAGCTAATTCAAATTTGTATGGAGTTAGAAGGTTTGCCGCTAGGGGCGCTTTTCCAACTGCATACAAATTTGAGTTAACTTTTACGCTATCGAGAACGTTAAAAAACACGCACTAAGCACACTCATCTAAATTGCTCATTGAATGGCTTGAACAACTAACTGGCACTACTTCCCTATGAGTGTCCAGTGTGCTTAGTTCGAGTTTTTTAACGTTCTCGATAGCGTAAAAGTTAATTAAAATTTGTATGGAGTTGGAACGTTTGGCTACGTTTGCCGCTAGGGGCGCTGTTTCAACTGCATACAAATTTGAGTTAACTTTTACGCTATCGAGAACGTTAAAAAACTCGAACAAATCACACGGAACCAAAAAGCGACGTATCCGTATAGAGTAAAGCTCGCAACTTACTGGGCAGCATACTGATGAAATCCCTTTGTAGCATCGGTTTGAGGTAGGCATTGATGTGACCGTGCTGGTAGTGGCACATCCTCGCCAGGAGTTGCTCCACGAATTCCACCTAAAAATACACCGGAGCATACGGTTAGCCGTGTTGTTTTCGCACGCGCTATTTCCGGTCAACGATCTCGGCGAACTTTTATTTTTTTTCTACCTAAGCGGATGGTCTGAAGAGACCATATCAGCGTAACCTTAACTAGTAGTTGAGCTCGCGGGGCTTAAACCTGACGACGTTGCTAACACGAACCCTAGCAAGAGCCGTGCTTCGCAGAATCTACCACCGGATCGGAAACGCGACCCACTGAGAAGATCCGGCGAGAAACTCAGTGAGCTGTGTCTGTGGGTTAATTTCCTCGTCAAGCGGCTCACGTGCTACTAAGGGTTGCCAGATTTTTTTTCAGCCCATTTATATAGGAGGCTTAAATAAGCAAAAAATACTGGAAATTAGGTTTTTTACCCGGAACAAATAAAAAACAAATTTATATACCTAGTGACATTCTTTTTTTTATATTTCTTCGAGGAGCAAGTCAGTTTTAACATATATATAAAAATCAATACAATTACAATCGGTACGGTTCGAATACGGGACGTTTTAAACTAAGCCTAAAATACGGGATGTCCCGGGAAAAACGGGACACTTCTGGCAACTCTACGGGCGACCCTCGTGGCCTAAGCGGTTCAGTAAGATAAGGCTCACCGGTGCGCACCGTGGCCAGAATGAAAATACTCGATTTTTCATGTGGCGTACAACTTGTCAAGGGTAATCTCGTCAGCTTGTATCGAGGCACCGCATTACACCACCGGCGCGCTATGATGGCCGTTTTGACGTTTTTCTTTTATTATTGCATACATGGGTTGACGAGCTCACAGCCCACCTGATGTTACTGGAGCCCATAGACATCTACAACGTAAATGCGGCACCCACCTTGAGATATAAATTCTAAGGTCTCAAGTATGGTTACAGCGTACTATTACCACATACCTAACTCGGTATTTGCTTTTCGATATACAAAATTTAAAAAAAAAAGGAAATTTAATAAGGTTAATAAATTAATTTAAATTTAATAATTAAAATGATATAATAAGCATTTATACTTTTGTTTTATTAAACCTTTTTAGTCAGGTACTACTTGCAATAAAAACTTGTAGATTCCATTTTTTTTTTTTCGAGAATAAATTGACATTTCACATCTCTATCGTATTAAGTCAAAACGGCCATCATAGTATGCCGATAGTGTAAGCACTTTTTTTTATTGCCCTTGTAGGCAGACGAAGCACTTATCAGTTTCGAGAACATTCCTTCTACTGATCTGAAGGGATGCGGTCACCTGATCTGTCTCGTTCCATCTTGTGAAGTAGTTGAGGCATGCGTCCCTTTCCGCCGCGTACGCAGGGCTACTGGGCACCGGTCTGACGCCGCTGTCCAAACTTGTCAGTGACGTCACCTGGAAAACGTTCGTAAAAGCGGTTGAGACAACCCTAGCACTCGGCGTATAGTGACGCGACTAAGGCAAGTCCTCCGAAAGATACTGTGTGCTTAATCACTAGTTTTTTTTAAATTTAAAGTTCTGAACAGCTTCCCTTCGTTTGCCGCTAGGGGCGCTGTTCCAACTCCATACAAATTTGAGTTAACTTTTACGCGATCGAGAACGTTAAAAAACTCGCGCTAAGCACAATACTAATATCTGTTTTGAAGGTCGAGACAATGGTTGGAGATCGGAATTGAAACTTCGATCTCTTCTTTCGAAGTGAGCTGCTGAATTTACCGTTGCTATGAACGATGAATGGATGATAAGTTTACCACAAAGTACCCTTTATGGACTCGCAATTCGTGCGCAAATTATTAAAACAAAATCATCATTGTAATCAATGCAATTGATCGGAATGCAGTGGATCGCGATTCAGATCCGGTGGTAGATTCAACGAAGCACTACTCTTGCTAGGGCTAGTGTTAACAAATTCTCTCAGGTTGAGCCCGTAAGCTCACCTACCGTAGCTAGAATAGTCCCTTAGGCTAGTGAATAGGTAGGGTTTTTTTTGACAGATTTTACTGATGTATAATTGTACTATATGTTTCTTAAACCGAGAGGGCTGGTGGTCGTGGCGCCGACGACCACCGGACCGGCGTCCCGAGGGGGAGGGTGATAGGAGAGATGTGCTCCGCACTAAACGCTTCACTTTCCCCCCTCTGCCTCTTCATGAGTTCTGTCTCATGCGAGGTTTGGACGTTGGTTGTTGAGCGACAGGAGGTTTTAGTCAGTTCGACTCAGACATGCCCCGCCCTCCATCCCCAGTGGAGGGCGGAAGTCCGGCGATTTCCTCCTGACAAAAAAAAAAAAAATATGTTTCTTAAATAATAAACTTTAAAGTAAATTTTTTGTTTACACTATTCATAGGGGAAGGCGATATCTGCTGTGTTCGTATAAATAACTAGCCATACTCGCTCGCTTCGCTGGGCATTTAAAACTAACATTATTATTTATTGTCATTATTATTAGGGAGTACAACTCTCATATAAATATCAGCCTATCCATTAAGTACATGTATTTTCTACATGGATACCAAGTTTCAAGTCAATCGGATGCACGGTTCAGTAGTTATAACGGAACATCCGTAAAAACCACTGTAGATTTATATATTAGTATAGATTTCCCAAACCTTCATAGCTGTAGGGGAGAGAGAGGGGGGGGGGGGTGATACGGGTGGCTTCAGAGAACCCAGAATAAGCCCCAATATGAATGAAAACTATATTGATATGCACATAATTTAGGATCGTCGGGAAGTAAATTTATTCATTTCCATTGGCATACATTCAATATTGGATCATTAAGGTTAGATGATTTTATTTATTAAAAATTTGACTGACTAGCTGGCAAAGATTATATTAAAATCTATTCCTATCGACATCCCATTTAAAAAATTCTCCTATAACGAGGTCAACTCTTATAACGCGATGTCATGTCCTCAGCAAAAAACCCGCGTTTTTTCATATGACGCGGCGATTTTTTGCTTGTTGAAATATTTCATACAAATTTTCATTAATTTAATTCTGTCAATGAGATCAAACGGGGGCATTATGAGAGAGAGAGAGAGATAATACACTTTATTGCACACCAACACAATTTACATTCAAAAAAACAGTCAAAAAGCACATATGTACAATAGGCGGTCTTATCGCTAAAAGCGATCTCTTCCAGACAACCCTTTAATTTACAGAAATACTGTAAAATATAAAAATAAATTTTGCTCCTATAACGCGGAACCAACCCACCGCGTTGTAAAAGGCATTAATGAAAATGCAAGACATTATCTTTAGTGTATAATACAATGAACAGAAGAGTTCTCTCTTCTCTCTCTAACTTTCAAAGCTTCCGAGGAAACATCACAAAAAATTCCTTCAAAGCAACTTCATATCTGTGACGTCATATGGGGGCAAAAACAAAAATAGATCATACACTCACACACAATAGTTAACCAGCCACATACGGCATCATGATTGCGATTGATATAAGATAATTAAAAAAAAACTACTTCATTAACTTAGCCCAAAAACTTTGAATCTATTACTGTGTTTTTAGATACTTATGTTGGTAGTAAATGGCCTATAACATACAAGTTCGAAGGATCTAAGCTCGTATTTATCTATCACAAGTCTACCCCTTTCTGAGCAAGGGAATTAATTAGTTTTACCAAAGTTATACCTTTCGCCACTACTACGAGACGACTTCTCGATCGCAAGACACGTGCTCTCTCGGCCGAGATGCGATCGAGTTTCCGCATGCAAATGCGTGCCGGCCTCGCGTTAAACAGAGGTCAAGCGTTTAGACAGGCAACGACTGAGTGAGACATTTCGATCTAATATACATTATCGCTCACCAATCGATCGAGTATCAATCGTTAGACGAGAACTTGGTTCAATATGCTTAGTGCGTATAATTTAACGTTTTCGATAGCGTAAAAGTTAACTCGAATTTGTATGAAGTTGGAATAATTGCCTACGTTTGCCGCTAGGGGCGCTGTTCCAGCTCCGTACATATTAGAGTTAACTTTTACGCTATCGATAACGTTAAAACGGAAAATTTTACTGTGCGGTAGCTTATAATAAAAGCGATCTCTCGGGTTAATGTTGAACTTAGATTTGCTGTAATGGTACGAACCCTGCGCGTCTTCCGCTAAGCTACATGAAAATTTAAATGTTTTTTTATTGCTTAGATGGGTGGACGAGCTCACAGCCCACCTGGTGTTAAGTGGTTACTGGAGCCCATAGACATCTACAACGTAAATGCGCCACCCACCTTGAGATATAAGTTCTAAGGTCTCTATATAGTTACAACGGCTGCCCCACCCTTCAAACCGCAAACGCATTACTGCTTCACGGCAGAAATAGGCGGGTTGGTGGTACCTACCCGTGCGGACTCACAAGAGGGCCTACCACCAGTCGTACTCTTTATCACGGTTTCCTTTCGGTACCGAATCGCCAAGTGAACGCCGACGCTTACATTCTTTAGAGGTTATATCGTCTTGTTACGTATTCGCGTTACTGTCGTTTTAAAGGAGGAAATTATTTGTAGGAAGTAAAATTCTCATGGCACTAGTCGGCACGCGACTAATCCATTGAAAAAAAATAATCAATTAATTCGCATATGAAGCGTTTAAAAAAAATCTTTAGCTTTATGAGGTCGGGCGAGAACACATATAATCGAGTACTCATCATTTGAGACGTGAGGTTTGAGGTTACGGAGCTATGTAATGAAGGGTTATGTAGAATGATTCGATATATCGTCTTCTCGCATTAAAACTGTATAATCTCAAAACTTACAAATTTTACAGGAGAGTGTTTTAAATGTTTAACATGTGATATTTTTAATATTATTAATCATCTTTGCAAAATTTATTTTTTATTTTTACCAGTTACATTATCTGTCTTTTAAAGTAAGATACAATTATGTATTAATTTTGTTAATAGTAGTCAAAACATAGGTAAACTAAAAAAAAAAAAACTAAACTACGCTCTTTTGACAGTATTTATGAGAAAAATACTGGTGATACCAAATCATCCCGTATATTAACTTAATTTCGAATATTTTAGGAAATTGTACACTTTTAATGCGAAAAGACGATATAGGTTTTTAACTTCAAATTCAATTTTGTAAACATGAAATTCTATTTCTATTCCAAGGTTAGTTTTTTATTTATTATTCTTTTAAAATTAACAAAACTAAAAACAAGTAAAAAGAGGAAAACAGAATACATATGAATTAAACGTCTTCAAGTTATGTATTTTTTTTTCTTCTAAATAATAACAAATTTAAAATTTAAAACCATTCTAACTTTGGAAAAGAAATTGAATTTAACGTTTTTGAATTTGATGTTTACAAAATTGAATTTCAAGTCAAAAACCTATCTACTTAAAACAATAAGATCGATGATTCGACCGATATATCTCAGGTTACATTGTGACACCTATTAATACCCAACCCTGTGGACCGAATGGTAAACAGTCGACGTCGCCCTAAACACGTCATTACGGATCCTCTCGATCCATTAACGGTGCTTTTAGGTACCTCAAGCACCGGTCACCGTCCTCGCCGAACCCGTCGCTTACGACGAAGGGCTCGACAAGTAAATTAACCCACAGACACAGCCCACCGAGTTTCTCGTCGGATCTTCTCAGTGGGTTGTGTTTCCGATCTGGTGGTAAATTCTGCGAAGCACTGCTCTTGCTAGGGCTAGTGTTAGCAACACTCCCGGTTTGAGCCCCGTGAGCTCACCTACACGTCAAGGAGAAGCTGAAATAGCCTCTTAAGGCTATCAACATAGGTAGCAGAAAAAAAGGGCAAAAAAAAAAGACGCCTATTGTCTTCTGTGAACGCTTGTTCAAGATCTACATAGCGCGAAACGAAACCCATGAGGTCGTTTGAGGTATATGAACACTTCTTATATCATCGGTGCATTCACTAACCAAACCACTACGACCCATTTTAAAAATTCCAATAATTCCAACAGATCATTATTGTCGACCTAAAAGGTAAATAGAACATCATTTCCAAAAACCGATTTATTTTTGTCACAAGCGCAAACACCTTTTTTTTCACCTACCTAAGATTTATGGCCTTGAGAGGTCATTTCAACCTAACCCTAACAAGTAGGTCAGCTCGCGGGGGTCAAACCTGACGACATTGCTAACACGAACCCTAGCAAGAGCCGTGCTTCGCAGAATCTACCACCGGATCGGAAACGCGACCCACTGAGAAGATCCGGCGAGAAACTCAGTGGGCTGTGTCTATGAGTTAATTTACTCGTCGAGCCCTTCTTCGCAAGCGACGGGTTCGACGAGAACGCGAACACCCAAAAAGCCGTACTATAAGGGAGGTATAGGGATCAGGCCCACTGGCTAGGTGGTGCGATGACCTCTGAGCCGGCCGGAGGTGGATGAGGAGAGCCGAAAACCGGGCTCGGTGGTGGGGATTGGGAGAGACCCTATGTCCAGCAGTGGACGACTGAGCTGATGATGATGAAGGAAGCCATTCACGACGCTGCCTTCGCGAATCGAACTCGCAAAACACGCCGTCTATTGTACAAATTTTAATGTATCTGCTTGTTGACTGTTTTTATGAATGCTATTTGTTTTTTTTTTATTGCTTAGATGGGTGGACGAGCTCACAGCCCACCTGATGTTAAGTGGTTACTGGAGCCCATAGGCATCTACAACGTAAATGCGCCACCCACCTTGAGATATAAGTTCTAAGGTCTCAAGTATAGTTACAACAGCTGCCCCACCCTTCAAACCGATACACATTATTGCTTCACGGCAGAAATAGGCAGCGCGGTGGTACCTACCCGCGCGGACTCATAAGAGGTCCTACCACCAATAATTACGGAAATTATAACTTTGCAGGTTTGATTTTTATTACACGATGTTATTCCTACACCGTGGAAGTCAATCGTGAACATTTGTTGAGTACGTAGGTATTTCATTAGCAAAATTGGTACCCGCCTGCGGGATTCGAACACCGGTGCATCGCTACACACGAATGCACCGGACATCTTATCCTTTAGGCCACGACGACTTCAAAGTTGTATTTTGATGTGCAATAAAGTGTATTCTCTCTCACAACACAATAACGCCGCATTCTTGATTTGTCATCTTAATATGTCACTTTTGTATCCTTAGAAAGTGAAAGTTTATTGTAAGCTTTCACGTCATCAAACGTGTTTTTTTTGGTGATCTACTTTTGTTAGTTATTCTTATATATTGTTGCTGTCCAAGATTAGCGATTTTCAATAGTAAAATGAAGGATTTTCGAGTTTATTTTTTCCGTCACGTTACTAAGAAAAACGATGATAACCTACTCATCAGACCACACCCACAGACACAGCCCAGTGAGTTTCTCGCCGGATCTTCTCAGTGGATCGCGATTCTGATCCGGTGGTAGATTCAGCGAAGCACTGCTCTTGCTAGGGCTAGTGTTAACAAATTCTCGCAGGTTGAGCCCGTGAGCTCACCAACCCGTCCGGGCGTAACTGGAATAGCCCCATAGCCTGTTGGCCCACTAGCGAATAGGTAGTGGAAACAAAACCCATCACCGAAAGTGGAAGGAAAGAGGCCTAGGGGCGTAGTCCCATGCGCTGGTCTGATCAAATTAAGACGACATTCTTGACTATCCAATGTAGCATCAACTTGACTATCCACTGCGCAAATGACAGGAAATAATTGAGGAACATAATCCAAACAAAAGTCCAAAAGAACTACCCGGAGGGGAGTGATGTGGCGGGTAGCCATCATACAACGCAAGATATATGACAGATGCCTGAATCGCGCTTACGACATTGTCAAGATAAGCTTGCATATATACAAGTTCCGAACAACAACATTCGGACCGTCGGTCTACCGAGCAAATATCACCCGCTCGGTGGAAGATCTTCCTTTCGTCGTAAACCTCCCCACATTCCGTAAAGGTCACGACCCTCAACACTGAGGAACACGATTCAAGAAGCAAGAAGATGAGTCAGCTGACGCAATTCGATTCACCTCCGAAGACTTTTTTTTTTATTGCTTAGATGAGTGGACGAGCTCACAGCCCACCTGATGTTAAGTGGTTACTGGAGCCCATAGACATCTACAACGTAAATGCGCCACCCACCTTGAGATATAAGTTCTAAGGTCTCAAGTATAGTTACAACGGCTGCCCCACCCTTCAAACCGAAACGCAGGACTGCTTCACGGCAGAAATAGGCAGGGTGGTGGTGCGGACTCACAAGAGGTCCTACCAACAGTAATTGCGAAAATTATAATTTTGCGGGTTTGATTTTTATTACACGATGTTATTGCTTCACCGTGGAAGTCACTCATGAACATTCGTTAAGTACGTATTTCATTAGAAAAATAAGTATCCAACTGCGGGATTCGAACACCGGTGCATCGCTACATACGAATGCACCGGACGTCTTATCCTTTAGGCCACGACGACTTCAAAACTAGTGAGGCGACCATTGCATTACAGAATCAATGTAGCTAGCAACATTAACGTTATTGATATCTAAGAGTTAATGTAGCCACTTAACGTCGGGCAAGCAGTGAGCTCGTTCAACCGTCTTCTTTCCACCTTATCTCACTAGGTGGAGTCGGCACAGCCAGTTTTTCTATTCCATTCTCTTCTATCAGCCGTCATCTCAACACTCACTCCTCTCTCTCTCCTATCGTCATTCACACACTCCACCCATGTCTTGTTCGGTCGACTTCTTCCCTTCTTCCTTACACTACCATTTCCATACATTTCTTAGTCACATGCTTCTAGCTCATTCAACTGTGCAAACTATAAATAAAAAAATGAGCAGAACGTATTTCGGTTTGAAGGGTGGAGCAGCCGTTGTAACTATACTGAGACCTTAGAACTCATATCTCAAGGTGGGTGGCGGCATTTACGGTGTAAATGTCTATGGGCTCCAGTAACATCAGAGGGGTCGTGAGCACGACGAACTAAGCAAAAAAAAGTAAGAAGAAAAAAATAGTTTCCAATCGAAACGCATCACTGCTTCACGTCAGAAATGGACATGGTGGTGATACCACTAATATTTCAATTTCATTACTCATTAAATTGTTACTATTAGTTTTGTACGAAGGAGAAAACATGGAGCGCCGGCCCCAGGTAACTGGGAGAAGGGCAGGAGAATGATGACATAATAAAAATGCAATTAATTTTAACACACAAGTAGATCTTTGATTTCCGATGTCAAGATAAGGCTGTCGATATTTAAAAAATCATACTGGAAATAACCAGGCTTAAGTATAGTCTAGGATGAAAGTTTTAAGACTACTTATTTTTATTTAAGTACTTACTTTTACTTTAACTTTACTTATCATGTAACAGCTAGAACACATTATGAATGATGCTTGAAAACAAAAAGTATTAATAGTTCTTATTGTGAATTGTTACGTCTGGGTAATTATTATATGTTGCTTGGTAGTCGCAGAGGTCGTGATCCTCAACGATGAGATAAGAATTTTCTAATTTATTTGTAAAATTACTTTTACATACTTAAGTGACAGGATGCAGTGAATTGGATCCACTCTTTGAAGGAACTAAAAAAACGAATTTTAGAAATTCTTATGGCACCATACTGTGTAAAATAAACTGTTTCTATAAGTATTCTTTCTATAAATATCCTTATTTCACTTAAAGGTAAGGCTACTTCATCATCAGGTGGTTTGGTAGGTAGTTGAACAAAATGATAATTTCACAATATCCTGGTATACACAATCACAATTTAAGTAGCAATTTGGACGATAAGAAATACGTGTTCTATCACATTATCAACTGCTTCGTACTTAATCTGTTACTTAATTTTAAAATTGAAAATGAAGAGCGCCTATTTCTTGGAAAAATTTGATAGGTAATCAAAGAGAACATTATATCGCCATGGTTTGTTTAGTAAAGTAATTTTAAATTAAGAACGAAGGTGACATATATTTTTTTTTCTCCGTGTTTTTCCCGTTATTTCACGAATGATTCTGGGAAATTAGTCACGTCGAATATTGATAAATTTTTATGTAAACAAATGAGTTTAATGTCTCTGAACGTATTTGCGGACCAAGCCCGCTTCCTTTGCGTTAGCTGGAAAGTTTTTTCGGCAAATAAAACTTCCTAAAAAGTGGATTAAACTGAGATCCGCATTTCTCGTAACAAATAAATGTACTTTCATCACACAAAAAGCGCTAATGTCTTTAAAATCACTCCACATTAAGATTCTTGTATTATCAATAGAGGTTCTTGTTACAGTATTAAAGTGAATTCTTGTGTCAGACAATGGACATAAATACAAAATAACACAGGAGGTAAAAGGAAAGATGGCGGCATTGCCGTGACATTCTAAGCACTGTTCTATTTAAAGTTTACGCTCATACCTGAGGTGGTATTGTATCCTCTATCATCTTTTCAGTCTCCATTTTCACTATTTATTATTTAACATTAATAATTGTCCACTAAAACACCTCTAATATATACAAAACCACAATCGCTAAACACACATCGTTCGAATGACGTCAAGTACAACAATGTTTTAAAGTTGTTCCTAAATTGGCTTGTGCATTAAGGATACACAGCCAAAAAAATCCTTGTATCATTTGACTAATGCAGAAAATGTCAAATTGAAAAAAGTGCACACTAACGTGCTACGTGACATACTCGTAAATTTTAATTGTTTTAGTACGAATAGCATTGCTTCTTGCTATGATAAAAGATTTTGGAAAATGGAGTGATTAATCTATAACTATTCTGTAAAGCTATGTACATAAAAAAGAATGAATGTGTGTATTTATGTGTACCTAAAACTCGTGAACTAGTCCCCCAATTGATATGAAACTTTGCACACATCTAAAGGGTGCCATAACCATTTCGACCATTTTTACTAGTGGTAGGACCTTTTGTGAGTCCGCGCGGGTAGGTACCACCACCATACCTATTTCTGCCGTGAAGCAGTAATGCGTTTCGGTTTGAAGGGTTGGGCAGCCGTTGTAACTATACTTAGAACTTATATCTCAAGGTGGGTAGCGCATTTACGTTGTAGATGTCTATGGGCTCCAGTGACCACTTAACATCAGGTGGGCTGTGAGCTCGTCCACCCATCTTAGCAATAGAGGTCCGCACGCCTAGAGGGCGCGCGGGTTATGTAGGATTTGACGATCTGCAGATGAGAGCAGACCGCAGGCCCAAGGACGTTTTAGGGCCCTACCGCACTAAACGACTCCCCTGCACTTTTACATCCAACGTCCCATCTCCACCCGGGGTTCTGACCTCCTTACTCTGACCGGGTTCTGAGCTGGTTAGAGTAAGGGGGTTCCCGCGGTCAGCACTATAAACAAACTCGCAGTACCAGTGCCAGCCCGACTAAGCAGGCATAGCCGCTCAAGGTTACCAGCATAGGTACGAAAAAAAATCAACGAGTTGCTATGTTTTACTCATGCTACAAAAAGCGTGTTAAACTGATCATTAAGCTTAAAACAGTACTATTATTTTCAACGAACTGGAATAAATTACAGATGCTTACGGCTAAAGGTACATTCAATAAAAATCTTAAAATTAGTAACTTTTTCATAGAAATCATTCAATTCCAACACCGATCACTCACATGCGCACGAATACGCAAACCCACAAGTGTAGGACGACATTTGCGAATGATTATGCAAAGTTTTCGCTGCATTCGTGGTTTTCCAAGCTGTGTCGGTTTTTTAACAGACATCAAAGCGCGCGAACCTCGAACCTTCGCGTAGACTCCCACACATTCACTTGCCCAGTTGCGCCGACGATTGCGAAGGTAACGGACGTATACTATACGCCATTTTCATAGTTCGTGACGTCTACTGTGTAGCGTATCTTCATCAAAAGAAATCCCATAAAAACAGCATGGCTGTTAATGATGTCTGGTAAAGAATTAAAAACTATTTTTCTCTTTAATGTTCTATTGACGAATTAAAAAGGAGGAGAAATTCGTGAGACATTCGTAAACAAGTGTAGGAGGAAGCGCAAACGGGTTCGCAAATTGAGAATGCGAACCCATTTGCACAGCCGCTAGGTTTGCGAATTAATGTTTGACGGCCCTTCACATGCGCGCAAACATTCGTACAATGTACGAATATTTGCGCGCCTGCCAGTGGCCGGCACAAAGGTCTACTGATTAGTCACAAGTTTGGGAATATGAAACAAAATAGCTGGAGGTGCTCAAGTGTAGTTTTGGGTTATTTTAGTAAGTCCACTGAACTGAGAGCTTTAGGTACTCTATGCGATATGTACCTATTTTCTGAGGTGATAACTCACCATTTAACTGCTTACGACATTCTATCTCATTTAACATCCACTCGATGCGGTTTTATCTCACCAGATATAATCTAAATATTTGGTTGAATTGGCACTGCTCCTTTTGCTAATCATTTAACAAATAAAAAAAGCTAACGAAAACTCAAATTTCAATGTCAAATGTCAATTGAGAACGATTCAATGTCAAACAGTCAAGCGAAACTTTGTTTTTATAAAAAAAAAAAACAAATATATTTTATTGAATTATATTTAAATAATGTAACGAATTAAGATTTAATCTCAGTGTTTTTCACAGAGGAGTTATAATTAGTTAAAATATTTAGTTTAAGCAGTAACATGCATAGTATGCGCTACGCACGTATGATCTTGAAGTGTTTCAATAAATTACCAAAATAAATAACTCAGGTCAGTATTTACTCAACGTTTTACTTCTATTTACGCAGCAAATAAGTTTTTTCCTGTTATGAGGTCACGCGGAAGTGTCTGAAACAGTTTTACAGTAGTCATTTCACTCTGATATTTTAGTAACTTCGAACCAAATCAAAGATATTCTGCGCCCCTATTTAAAGTTTATCTTGAAATTAGGGTATAAAAGTAAAAAAAATAATAAAGCTTATATATTCAGAGTCACTAAAGTTGTTCCTACATGCTGCCTATTGCCTTAGACTGCCCACTACCGCTTTGGAGGAACTGGCATGACTTCTACCACTGACGATAACTGCAACACCACGTCGGATAGGCAATAAAAAAAATGCAATACAAGCAACTATGTGCAAATATTGAACACTCATAGTAATGTAAATCCCATAGGGATAACTACTTTTGTTTGAAATAACAAAGCAAATAGCTTATAGCTTATAGCTTTTTATATGTAAATGAAGATAAATATGATACTGCACAAAGAAATTTTATGGAAAACCAAAATGCAGTTGTTCAGTCATCGCTAGACTAATGATGCAATTAATAATAACAATTTTTTATATATATACTAGTTTTTGTTTGTCCATTTAATTTATGAAATGAAATCAAATCAAAAAATAATTATTCAACATAAATGAAAGTACATACTTGTTGAACGTCAAAAGAACTACCGCCAATTCACAAAAATTAGCCTCTGTCCTGAGAAGAATTGGCAAGAAACTCAGGGGGCATGTCTTATTTTTTTTATATTAATTTTTTTTTAGTGTTATATTTTTTTTTAAATATTCATTTTTACAATGAGTATTATAACGTAACAATTATTACAATATTGAAATGCCTGGAGCGAGCAACTCATTCCCACTTTGTGCAATCTTCTTAAATACGTACATAACGAGGGAGTGAAAGGCGATTTTGTATGAACTACATTTTTGCAACCTTACAGGAGAGCTATATAAAGTTTGAAATTCTTAAAAAGTATCATAACAAAAAAATCCTTCAGCTATTTGAATGGAGTAAACTTAATTGAAGTTCAATTGAAAATAAATCTGTTCGTTAGTCTCGCTAAAACTCGAGAACGGCTGGACCGATTTGCCTAATTTTGGTCTTGAATTATTTATGGAAGTCCGTAGAAGGTTTAAAAGGTAGATAAATATGAAAATGCTCGGAATTAAATAAAAATAACAATTTTGTTTTTCCTTTGATGTGTCCCACGTCAGACGGATCTCTTTTGTTTGTTTTAAGTTTATTTTATACAAAAGTTTGGGTCTTTTATTTATCGATTTAGGCACTACGAAGTCTGCCAGGTCAACTAGTACCAAATAAAACGCACCTTTAATTATGAAGATGAATGTTGTTTAAGCCAAATAGCCTATTTCAATGTAATGATGTTATAAATAGGTCTTGCAACATGCTGTCGAGTGATATTGTCGAAAACCGCCGTGGTCCCCCCGGGGTCAACTCGAGGTCGCTCAGCTCTGCTCATTCTGCTGCTGATCTTGAGGTTCGTATATAAATATGCTGCATAACAAATAGTATTCATTTTGATATTATAGGGCTTATCTCATGCTAAGCTACAAATCCATAGACGACATTCATTTTATGCCAAAAATAAATTCCTACCTATGCTGATAGCCTTGAGAGGCTATATCATCGTTACCCTAGCGTGTAGGTGAGCTCTCGGGGCTCGAACCGGAGGTGTTGCTAACACTGACCCTAGTAAGGGCAGTACTACGCTGAATCTACCACCGGATCGGAAACGCGACCCACTGAGAAGATCCGGCGAGAAATTCAGTGGGCTTTTTATGCCATGATGTCAAAGACTCAATCACATCGGAGAAGTATGTGTATAACAAGTGAAACTTGGACATACATCGGCATACATTATTCATTGAGTACATTAGACATGAAACCTTTTGAAATATTCAATCTCATTCTCTCTGATACTAAATCCTAAACACATATATTGTTACGCCGGTAAGAGTAACGCCATCTATCGTCGAATAGTCGAACGGATATCGAAGGATCTAATAGCACCTAGAACGCTCGAGAAGTACAACGCCATCTATTGTCAGATAGCGGAAACATAATTCTCGAAAAATGTGGAATATTCTCGATAATTCTAAGGCTGTGGTATCGGCTATAAAAGCGTTGCAAAGATGGCTCGCAGTCAGTCAGTAATCGGAACTATTCGAAGCGAAACAGCGAACGAATCACCTGAAGCGAAGCGGAAGAAGCGATCAGTCGATAATATTGTAACGCGTTGGGGTTCGGAATAAATAAAAATTCTATCGAAGTACAAATTAAAACTATTTAACACTTAAAACACTTACGAACACTTTACAACTCTTAGTTCACTTCTTCCGCTTCGCTTCAGGTGATCCGTTCGCTGTTTCGCTTCGAGTAGCTCCGATTACTGACTAACTGCGTGCCATCTTTGCAACGCTTTTATAATCGATACGACATCCCTAATTATCGAGATCATTCCTGACAAGCCGAGTAGTTTCGGTGTGTTTCCGCTATTTGGCAATAGATGGCGTTGTACTTCTCGAGCGTTCTCGATTTCACCAGTTCTTTGATATTCGTTTCTACTATACGACGATAGATGGCGTTGCTATTACCCGCCTAACAATATATTAGTGTTCATTATGTGAGCCCGTTCGCACGTGAGACAGCCCAATGCTGAATAAAAAAAGCAAAAAATTCAATCCAAAAACCGTCGCCAGTGATAACGAACAAGGAAAGATCACCAAGACGCAGTTTTTTTTAAAAGGCGAATATGCCCAGAATAATAATTGTTTTTCAGATCCTGCGCGAAATCGAGAATGTCTATTTCTCGTCACCGGCCGACTTCGACGCGGCTCGGTACGTGCTGGAGCACGCGCCCGCACCCCCGACCTGCGAGTCCATCGAGCATATGTTCACAAAGCTCAAGAGGCAGCAACAGGTACTGAATGCTGAGAGAGAGAGAGAGAGAGAGAGAGAGAAAGTGAGAGAGTGCGAGAAAGAAAGGGAGAGAGTGCGAGAAAGATAGGGAGAGAGTGCGAGAAAGATAGGCAGAGAGACAGATAGATAGATAGAGAGAGAGAGAATGCTTTATTGTAAACAAAATAAATAAACAATGCGAAAGCTTAAATACAAAACAGTAGAATATGCGGTCTTATCGCTAAGAGCGATCTATTCCAGAGAACCATCAGGTGGACAAGAATAATTTGGAATAAGCCTATTCTACTCTATTCTTTGCCAGCGTTCACAAACTGTTCTCGTACCGAATTATTCCGTCTGAATCGGCTCAGGTATCAGGGCGTTAAAACGGATAATCGATTTTGACTGAATACTAGATCCGGATGCGCAGTATTTTTTTTATTGCTTAGATGTGTGAACGAGCTCACAGCCCACCTGATGTTAAGTGGTTACTGGGGCCCATAGGCATCTATAACTTAAATGCGTCACACACCTTGAGATATAAGTTCTAAGGTCTCAGTATAGTTACAACGACTGCCCCACCCTTCAAACCGAAACACATTACTGCTTCACGACAAAAATAGGCGGGGTAGTGGTACCTACCCGTGCAGACTCACAAAAGGACCTACCACCAGTAAAGTATAGTAGATAAAGATAGATAAAGCATAGATAGATATGCCATTAAATGCGTGCCGTAACAACGTGATTCCTTGCAGGTGGTCTCTGGTAAAGCCCTCCATTTAATATCGCAACAGCGCGACAATTGCGACAAGGAATTCGCCGAGATCCAAAACATAAGGACCCAGCTATCCTTAACGTTGCAGACGTGCAGGAAAGCTAGGGAACACTTGCGGACCGCATCTAACCACCTGACCATGTCGACTTTCGTCATATTAGCCAACTTTAGGAAACGTCAGATCATCAGATCGGTCCTGAAGTGCTTGGAGCTGCTTCGGAGTTTGAGGAGCGTCGAGAATGACGTCACGGAGCTATTGAACAAAAAGGACTTTTATAGCGCCATCGAGCTAATCCTGAAGTCAAGGAAGGCAGCGGCCGCACACAAGGAGTACGCTTGCATCACGGACTTGTCCAATAGACTCCAAGACACGCTGGTTCTGACCGAGGAGAAACTGGATTCGGTCCTGTCTAGCTTGTGTTTCAAATTCGATAAGGACGTCTTCACGAAGCTGAGGAGGGCTTATGGCTTGTTGGGGAAGACGCAGGCCGCGATGGAGCAACTCCACATGCACTACTCATCGGCGGTCAACGAGTCCTCAGTAGCAGCCTTGAAAAAGTACACCGGGGAAGCGTCTATAGACACAAAGTTTCAGGACTTGTGTGCTTCGGTACCGTCGGGCAAAGCGCCCGCTTGCGTCTTAGATCTGTGCGAGAATCTCTTTTATATAATGCGTAGTTATTATCTGTTGGTCGATTGGCATTCGAAACACGACGAAGAGCCAGCTTGCACGAATGTTTTCGACATACAAAAGAACGTAAGCCGGGAGTACATAAGGCAGAAGTTGAAGGCCGGTCTTCTTAGGATATGGCACGACGTTCAAGGCAAAGTCTCTATATTCTTGAAGAGTTCAGGCCTAGAAGACTATCCGTTCGAGAAATTCGTACAAATATTAGGTGTGTTAAGGAAACTGACGCAGATAGGCGAAGTTTTCTGCGGCGATAAGTCGGACGTGCTAGAGGACTTTATAAAGACCCAAAGCGTTGTTTACATACAGAACTATCATAGAGGCAGGCTGGAGGAATTGAAGTTGTTCCTCGAGAACGAAGCCTGGGAACAGTGTCCGGTCAAATCGACGTTCAATCTGCTGAATCTCCAAGAATTCAAACAGTTCAAGAAGTACCTGAACAGATCTGATGGTGTGGTGACGAAAAATCAATCGGAGAACGCGTCCTCTGTCACATCGCAAGACGATAGCGTTTACGTAACGAAATATTTCAAATACGATAGCTCTTCGAGCCCGTTCGATATGTTTAGAAACGAGAACACGACCAACGATGATATCTTCGGTCTGGAGCCGGATATGCCGAGCGACGATTCCGAAGACGAACCGGACGAGCTGAAGCGCGACTTCGTCGAGGAGAACGACAGGCACGGATACGCCACGACCGGGAATAACGAAGCATTAAGTCCATCGAAAGTGAGGCACAGCGTTATCGTTGCCAACACGACGCTGTCCGTGTTGAGGAACTGCGGCCAGTACCTGCAGATATGCAGGTACCTGCCTCAAACTGCACTAGAAGTCGTCGTACTGATGAATCAATTGTACGACTATTATTTTTATACGGTCCATACGTTCTTCACTTCCGATCTGGATGTTAGCTCGACGACTTTGTACACGACGAAGCTGACGGCCCTTTTGAAGCGAATCACGAACAGCCTCGAGAATGGTGGAAGCGAAAACCGACATTTTGCAGGCCCAGAACAGCCTCACCACTTGGACTTGAGTAGCGAATCGAACCTTCACGGCTTGTCCGAACGAATCGTTGCCGTTGAAAGCGTTATTTTCTTGGCCAAACAATACGAAATGCTCCAACCGTATCTGGAGACTATGGTCGCGCCACACCAGCGTCTGATACTGGAGCACTTCCGCGATAACACCTTAGCCGTTGTCGCGGATCTGAGGACTCCGGTGTACATGTGCTCCGCTTCGAAGTCGATCGACGCGAGGACCGCTTTGGTCGCGATGTCGCAAGTCAAATGGGACGTGAAGAACGTAGCCGTCGAGCACAGCCCGTACGTGGACATGGTCGTGAGGAAGCTGCAGGTGTACGCGTTAAGGATCGAGAATATATCAAACAGGGTGACGTTGAATCGCGAAGTCCTGAATTCCATATGGACCGTTGTCTCGAAATACGTGATACACTTGCTCGTTGAGGGCTTCTCGAATGCGACCAAGTGCTCGAACGGGGGTAGAGGCCTGATGCAACTAGACTACACGCAGCTGCTGCTGAAATTGGAGAAGATATCCGGTCTGAAGCCGGTTCCGCATCAGGACTACGTTGACCGGTACGTAAAAGCGTACTATCTGCCGCGGAAGGGTCTCGAGGAGTTCGTCGTGGAGCACCCGGAGTATTCGACGAAGCATTTGGTCGCTCTAGTGTCCTGTGCCTGCGAAAACAAGAAGGACAGGCAGGCCCTGATCAGTCTGATCGAAGAGAAGGAGATACCGAATTGAAAACTGAACTCAAGGGGTGTGTTTGATAATCTCGTGGGGTATGCAAATCAAAAGACAATAGCTTAAACGATGTACTTAATTGAATTATCGCGTAGAGGAATATATATATTTGAAATAAATGTTAAATTAAATGCGAATCTGAGGGTAGTTTTATTTTTGAGTAACACGTCAATCTAATGGTTTTTTCCCTTATTCTTAGAGGTCGCTATTAGCTCCGTCGTCAGTACCGAAAAAGCCCGCAGCTCTAACAAGGGCAAGCGATTTATCTATCCCTTTTGCGGGGTATTTCAGTGGAGTATAACATGCAAGTTCGAAGGTCTAAGTTCGTATTTTCTATCACAAATCTAGCCCTTTTCGAGCAAGGGAATTAGTTTTAGCAAAGTTATACCTTTCGCCACTACTACGAGACGACTTCTCGATCGTAAAGCACGCGTGCTCTCGCCCAAGATGCGATCGAGTTTCCGCATGCAAATGCGTGACGGCCTCGCATTAAGCAGAGGTCAAGCGTTTAAACAGGCAACGACTGAGTGAGACATTTCGATCGAATGCACATTATCGGTCACCAATCGATCGAGTATCAATCGTTAGAGTGCGAGTTTTTTAACGTTCTCGATCGCGTAGAAGTAAACTCGTATCATGAGTTGGAACAGCTTCCCTTCGTTTGCCGCTAGGGGCGCTGTAAGCACACTGGTGCCTTGATGAGCTAACGAGCACGTCCGGTATTGAGTGGTTGCCGAAGCACGTGTATATCATGTGGTTGCCGTCACCTGCCTTGACCACGTGGGTGTGGATTCGCGGCTGCGTAACGGCTGACCCACTATTCAAACCAGAACGATTGCAACTCATCTCGATCGAGTTTGATTTAAACATTTCATTAAAACTTATAAAATAAAAGTGCGTTTTAATAGAATAGGCCAGTGGTCGGCTTAACCAAAAGAGCTAAGTATAGATAACTAGATAAATAGAATTTTGTAATGATAATGAAATATTTTGACATTTTCGCCACAGAGTATAAAAAAGACATGCCATGTCGGAAAGGCAAAGGAATATTTTCATACAGTTCGTTTATACATGCCGTCACCACAATATTTTTAGTTTTTAATTATTTACTTCCTAGTCAAGTAATATAAAATTATAAGAATTACCTACATATTTTAGTTCAGAATTGAAAAATAAAGGAACGGAATTTTTATTTTACGCATGTTAATGATAATTTTTTGAAATGTTGTCCATTGAAATTAATTCAAAGAGCAATATTTTTTTAACATATCGAGGTTTGAAAGGTTATTTATTAGGTTCAAGCGACATTTTGCTTAATACGCGATATTTATTTTTGTAATTAAAGGTGCGTTTTATTTGGTATCAGCATCGACAGTCCGATGGCGGTAGTTCTTTTGACGTTCAACAAGTATGTACTTTCATTTATGTTGTATAAAATTTTTTTGATTTGATTTGATTTGATGTTTTTAATTGAACTTCAATTAAGTTTACTCCATTCAAATATCTAATGATATTTTTTTTTGTATAATATTTTTTTCAAAGTTTAAACCTTTAAATGACTCTCCTGTAAAGTTGCAAAAATGTTGCTTAAACGCCAGTAAATAGCCTTTCCACCATTCGATGTATTTTTATGGCCTAGTGTTTCAAAAATGTTTACACGTTTTACTAAGGCAAGGTAATAAGTAAGACGACATAAAAGCTATTGCTGGCCCTCGATGGATACAGGTAGCCCAAAACAGAACCAAATGGAAGGACTTGGAGGAAGCCTTCACCGTGCTTAATGGGTTCCTGCCAAACATTAGTGAAAATAAATAAACATTAAATGCTTACCTATTTACATTGTATTTTAGTAGGAAATAAAAGGCATTTTATTTTATTATTTACTAGCTGACCCAGCAGACTTCGTAGTACCTCAATCGATAAATAAAAGACCTAAAGTATTGTATAAAATGAATTTAAAACAAACAAAAGGAATCCGTCCGACGGGGGACACATCAAAGGAAAAACAAAAATTGTTATTTTTATTCAATTCCGAGCATTTTCATATTTATCTACCTTTTAAACCTTCTTTGGACTTCCACAAATAATTCAAGATCAAAATTAGCCAAATTGGTCCAGCCGTTCTCGAGTTTTAGCAAGACTAACGAACAACAATTCATTTTTATATATATAGTATTCAATAAACAATTCAGGAATACATTCATCTTCGACTGAAATCAGGGCCCTGAAACTGCGATACTTTAAGATAAATATACTTTTTGTATGGAAACTAGCGACATCTTGTAGCGGATGCCCCTAAACTTATATGTTGTTAAAGTCAAGGCATTTAATTATTGTTTAACTAAACAAAGAAAATAAGAAAATAAATAAATTATACAAGTCTTTATTTGTTATAGACAAATTGATTAAATTTTATCAATTTGTGGTTTCCGGAAATTTACTAAATCGTTCATTTAAAAATAAAATATAGGACAGGTAATATGTTACTGCCGTCTACAGGAGCAATGAGAAACTAATCGAAGAAAAACCATCTAGTGACCGACGCCCGTAAATATTTTTGTTGAGTGCTCGAGTTGCTTATCTATAACTAATTTATGTGCATTATCTATGCTTAAAATTTTCGGTTCAGTAAAACCTTCCTCTGACGTCCAACTTTACGAGTTTAACTTCGTTCGCGAACTCTGTGTAATCGCAGCAGAAGCTGTGAGCGCCATCTCGCGACCGCCACGTTAACCACAAGTATTGCGGATTCGAATCACAGATGTCGCTGCAAAACTGTAACTCGTCCGTTGTCGTCTTGTTGTAGAACGCCGAGTTTATCGTCACGAACGCTACGGCTGTACGAGCTGTGGGATCGTAGACGACCTGGAAAAAAAAAGTAGGCGTGGCTTTTTAGGAATGAGGGATTTTTAGGAATTAGGAATGAGGGCCTTTCCAGTTTCACCAGGACACGTGGATGAGCAAAAGCTCAGCCAGGAGGGGTGAGATTTGCTAACAGCCGCCCGAGCGCCTCCAAAAGAGGCCTAACAACTTAAGAGCAGCTGCTTCGCGAATGAATCTACTACCGTATCGGAATCGCGACCTGATCCGGCGAGAAACTCAGTGGGCTGTGTCTGTGGGTTAATTTACACGCCAAGCCCTTCGTCGCAAGCGACGGGTTCGGCGAGGACGGTAACTGGTGCTTGAGGTACCTAACAGCACCGATAATGGATCGGGAAGATCCGTAATGACAACCGTAATGGCATTTCGATATATTGGAAACACATTTTCATATTAAGCCATGTAACATATAATCATATCGCGATTCAGAACACCGATAACGCCATCTATCGTGTATTGAAAGAAAAAACTATCTACACATATATTCTTTAGCGTCGTCGTTCTACGAATGTCATCGGTCATCATCAGTATCATTGACGGTGTCAATACACGTATTGTATTTTATTGACTAACCTTGTAAAAGTACATCGGTACGGGAACAACGCCGTTGTTGTTCTCATCGAAATGAAGGTATATGCTCTGGAAAGCGCCATCTCTGTTCGGCAGTGCCAAAACTCCATGAGTCCCTGTGTAGACTGTCACACTGTGACCGAGTTGAACGACCTTCTTCCTTAGCGCCTGTGAACATTAGGCCGCTGTGTGCTTAGTCCGAGCTTTCTAACGTTCTCGATAGCGGAAAAGTTAACTCAAATTTGTATGGAGTTGGAAGAGTACTTTTACTTTTACCAAATACTATCGAGATGGGATGAAATCGTTCGATTCGAATGGTGAGGCAGCCGTTACGCAGCCACGAATCCACAACCATTTAGTCAAGATAAGTAACGGCAACCACATGATATACACGTGCTTCGGTAACCACTCAATACCAGAGGTGCTCTTTCGCTTATCAAGGCACCAGTGTGCTTACTGGGTCCCTAGCGGCAAACGTAGGTAAACGTTCCAACTCCATACAAATTTGAGTTAACTTTCACGCTATCGAGAACGTTAAAAATTCGCGCTAAGCACACTGGTCTGTCTGATTGTACGAATATAAACTGGGCCGTATTGTGATTCCGCATGGTACGGGCATTTTTTTATTGCTTAGTTAGGTGAACGAGTTCACAGCCCACCTGGTGTTAAGTGGTTGCTGGGGCCCATAGACATCTACAACGAAAATGCCGCCACCTACCTTGAGATATGAGTTCTAACGTCGCCGCTTTTACAGTACAACGGCTGCCTCACCCTTCAAACCGAAACGCATTACTGCTTGGTGCAAAGCTGAAGCGCTAAGAGCTCACGGCTCATCTGATATTAAATGGTGAACACCACCATCCCCCTTGTGACCTAATAGCACAGTCAATGGAATTATTGCTGATAAAATAGTTGTTGAAAGTCGCCTTTCAACTGTTGTAAGCAGCCGAACTTCCTGTCGTAGGAGGACGGGAGGGAGGTGCGGGACTTGCTAGCCAGAGATGGTGAAAGCCAGGGTTGAAAATGATAGAGAGCCACCTAGTAAAAGACTCCCCTGCCTTCTCGTGCGATGTCCAATCCCTCCCCAGACAAAACCCGAGCTGGGGGAGGGAGGTTACAGCGATCAACTCGCTCACCCCAAGAACGTCCACCCCACCCCAAGGAGTCGTCGCAAACAAACCTCGTAATGTCGTTCAAAAGATATCGCAACTATAGAATTTAAGTGGCCTTTTTTTTTTATTGCCCTTGTAGGCAGACGAGCATACGGCCCACCTGATTGTGAGTGGTTACCGTCGCCCATGGACTTCAGCAATGCCAGGGGCAGAGCCAAGCCGCTGCCTACCGCTTAATACTCTCCACAAGCCTCGTTTGAAGAAATGTGGCCTAACTAAATATTTCAAGAAAATGCTTTTTATACATCGAACGACTTCCTCTCCTTTCGTCTGGATAAGGACGAACGTACTCTTTCCGTATCTTTTAAATCAAGAGCTTTAACCTTCACATATTAACTGAATTTTGAATGAAGCTCCTCCGTGCGTCGTGTTCCTCAGTGCTGAGGATCGTGACCTTTATGGTATACATACGTAAAGGTTTTCTTGGGAAAATTGCTAGTGGTGGGTTCCCGCGTCCTTCCACAGCAGAATTTCAGAGGCGATTTAGTTCCTCTGGGCCACTGAAGCCCTAGTTCGGGTTAGTTGACCGCCGCCTTTTGCTTGGCGTTATATTCTTACAGCCGGGTAGGTGGCATACCGAGGCCAACCCTCCTCCTCTTTTATCTCTTTTGAACGAAGCTACTTTAATACAAGTTGCGATATGATACTCACGGATTCCAGAGCCCCCCAGTCGCCGGAGTTGATTGTCCTCCATTGCGGGGCCGTGTTTATGTACTGGAAGGTGGCCCTCATCTGTGCCCGAAGCGGGAAATCCGCGCGAGGAGCCAGGTGACCACGAGTCAGAGCCTTGAAAACATGCGAACGAATATAAATGAGGACACGGCGAGTAACTTAGCGAACATACCCGATCCTGCGGACCGAATGGTAAACAGTCGACGTCGCCCTAAACACGGCATTACGGATCCTCCCGATCCACTAACGGTGCTTTTAGGTACCTCAAGCACCGGTCACGAACCCGGAAGGGCTCGACGAGTAAATTAACCCATAGATACAGCCCACACAGTTTCTCGCCGGTTCTTCTCAGCGGGTCGCGATTCCGATCCGATAGTAGATTCATTCGCGAAGCTCTTGAGTTGTTAGGTCTCCTTCGGAGGCGCTCGGACAGCTGTTCGCAAACCCCACCCCTCCTCGCTGAGCCTTTACTCGCCCAGCTGTCCTGGTGAAACTGGAAAGGCCTCCGGGCCACCAGTAATAAATCAATCATAAAAAAAACTTATCGTGTTGTGTCTGCTGTGGGTATATGAATAAAATCACACACACTTGGCGATTTACAAATACTTTGAGTTGGCTGGATTGATAGCTTTTTATTTGGGGCAATACATTTTGATGTGATAACTTCTTATGGTAATCGGCCGCGGGGTCTCTTTCCTTCTACTTTGCCCGTCACAATCACTTTGTGCGTTGGTGTGATCAAGTAACCGCTCTAACTGGGTTGCCAGTCGCAACCGCCATTCGAGCAGCTGAGGACCGGACGAGATGGAAACAGCTCACGAGACAGGCAACGGTCGAGTTTCAGGGACACGACCTTCAGCAATGAAGAAAGCGACGAAGAAGAAGAACTTCTTATGGGAGGTTAAACCGCTTCGTTAAGTAACGCGTTACGGGCGTTACGGCGCCTGTCTGTCTTGCGTCCGTTTCTCTCGCGCATACGGCAGCGGTACTGAGAACCTATGTAGCTCCTAACTATTTATATATCTCTTTCAATTTATGTTACAATTTTCCTTACATTCTCATATTATTAACTAGCGACCCGTCCTCGTTTCGCTTCGGAAACATGAAATTTTATTATTGATTATTTACGACATCACATTAGAAACCTCAAAAATAACAGCGTTTCTCCACTATTTAATGGATGTTATTATACATATAAACCTTCCTCTTCAATCACTCTGTCTATTAAAAAAAACCGCATCAAAACCCGTTGCGTAGTTTTCAAGATTTAAGCATACATAAGAACAGACAGAAAATATAGGGACAGAAAAAGCGAATTTGTTTTATACTATGTAGTGAAGTACATAAAATCGAAGTAATAACTTAAGCAATTCTCAAGTTGAAAAATGTCAATATTAAATAGCTTAAGTTGACACTTCTATCGAGCTATCCGAGACGCGACAATTCCATATTTAAAAAAAAACTAAAATCAACTAAAAAATGAAAAATAAATAATAGTTTAAAACCACGCAAACCACGCTTTTTTTACAATAAACTTAGACTATTCTTAAATCAAATTTATAAAAAAATATTTTTTTATTTTTTAGTTGGATTTTCTATAAAAGCGTAGGTACTTTGTTAATTTTTTTTAAACTATTATTTATTTAAATAATAATAATAAAAATAATTACCTGTCGTTTGTTATACAGCTCAGTGCTGTTCGTTCCGAGGATCCTCTCCATAATTTCCATTTGATTCCGTTTAAGATACAATTTACTTATGGGCACATTATCGAATACGCCTCCGTCTGAAACATTTTCAAATCGTTACAGAACTATGTACGTATATATAAATTTTTATAATGCTATTATAATTACATAGCTTTTATCGCGGGCTTTGAGCGCGGCGACCGAATCAATAAATTCCGTAACGAAAATAAAACCTAACACCCCCCAGTCCGCCTACCATGTAGCTCGCGTTCAACACATTCACACGTTGCGCTTGTGTAGTGTTTGTCAACAAGCGCGCGGCGTGACGTCGCACTGCATGCGCATCACGAAAAGTCTGCTTATCTCTCTCTCGCGCGTTCTAGCTTATGAGCGTGAAGGGGACAGTTAATGTTTTGCTTTTGTTAATGTTTACAAATATAGCGTGATCTTATCTTATTATTGTTTTAATCAGATAAGAGCTATGCAATAGCTTTACCGCGGCAGTCCCCGAGTGCAAGACCTGTTTTTTTTGTTTTAGACGCCTTTGTAGGCAGACGAGCATACGGCCCACCTGATGGAAAGTGGTTATCGTCTCTCACGGACGTCTAAATTGCTAGGGGCAGAGCCAAGCTGCTGCCTACCACTGTACCTAAATGTGTAATCGTTGATTTATAGCAATGCCATTTTAAAAATAGTATAATAAAATAGTAAAATATAAATAAAAGTGACCTAGAAAATTAAATTATAAGATTAGATAAGAAGACAGTTTTGAGGAAAATCATTTTATAAAAATATTATTGTATTGAATTGTACTTATCTGTTTAAAGAATTAATTTACGTTGATGCTACTTTTTGTATTGCTTAGCCGGGTGGACGAGCTCACGGCCCGCCTAGTGTTAAGTGGTCACCGGACATCTACAACGTAAATGCCTTCACCTACCTCGAAACATGAGTTGCTAGACCGCGCGAGAGAGAGACGGGCAGACTTTTCGTGATGCGCATGCAGTGCGACGTCACGCCGCGCGCTTTTTCACAAACACTACCCAAGCGCAACGTGTGAATGTGTTGAGCGCGAGCTACATGGTAGGCGGGGTGGGCGGTGTTAGGTTTTATTTTCGTTACGGAATTTCTTGATCCGGTCGCCGCGCTCAAAGCCCGCGATAAAAGCTATGCAATAGCTTAATAAAAATATTCGTTCGAAATTAATCAAATTGATTCTAAAATTAAGTGCGGCGCAATAAATAAAGCCTAGGGCGGCATTGAGCATAAATCCACCACTTTCCTTCGCCAATTAGAAGAACTGTATACATAATTAATATGTTTTTAGTAAATTCGTAGCTAACTCGACATTTTTGCTATTATTTTTCTTGATATTTTATGTGAAATTTTATTTTTAATGATTCTTCGAGTACTATCCTTTATTATCATTACATTAGTCGGTATTTACGGTAAACAAATTAATAATTACCCAAGAACTGGGTACGTCTGTAACTCTGTAACGTCGTAAAAGGCGTCAATACGTGTGTGACATAATGCGTTTTCATTTCGCTTAGATCGAAACACGCTTCGTACAGCGAATAGAATGCCTTCTGTATTTCATATCCGATCCTGAAAGAGAAAATCCGGTGAGTGGCTTGAAGTATATGACGTCATCGACGCTCTCAGGAGTGCGAGGGAGACAACACGATATTGGAGTGATAGCTTCTTAAGGGAAGGTAAACCGCTTCGTTACGTGACGCGTTACGGCGCCAGTTTATCTGGCGTCCCTTTCCCTCACGCATACGGCAGCGGTACTGAAAATGTAATGTATGTAGCTCCTAACTATTTATATATCTTTTGAAAATTTATGTTACAATTATCCTTACATTAACTAAAAACTAAGGTTTCCTCGAGTCAAACTATTTCAATACTTAGATTAGTTTAAGTTATCACTTCTGTCGGGCGTACTGGGACGCATTTTCTTTCTTTTCTCTTTAGTGATTGTGGCCTAAAAGATAAGACGTCCGGTGCATTCGTATCGAGCGACGCGGCTATGCCAAGGTTCGAATTCCTCAAACACGTACTCACTGTTCTATATAGTAAAATACGTACTCAAATCATGCTCACGGAATTCCACGTTGAGGGAATGATGAAAATATATAGATATGGAGAGAGTAAGGAGCACCATCTCAATGTATTAAAAAGTGCTCGCTGAAAGAGAGCCAATGAAGGTGGCGCCACAGTAATAAGTGGAAGGATTTTTATAAACAGCGCTATAAACTATTATGCCGGCCACTCTTATGCGCGCGAACATTCGTATAATGTACGAATATTTGCGAATATTTGCGTTTTGAAGGGCCGTCAAACATTCATTCGCAAACCTAGCGGCTGTACAAATGGTTTCGGTACTCTATTTGCGAACCCGTTTGCGCTTCCTCCTACTCTTGTTTACGAATGTCTCACGAATTTTTCTTCTTTTTTAATTCGCCAATACAACATTGAATAGAAAGAGAGTTTTTAATTCTTTCCCAGGCGACATTAACGGCCATTCCGTTTTTATGGGATTTCTTTTGAGTGTCCCATATGGTCGATTCATTTTGCAGGAGTTCAATGAACTCCCATCACCTTGGTATTGTTCCAATCCATGATGAAGGTACGCTACACAGTAGACGTCACGAACTATGAAAATGGCGAACGTCCGTTACCTTCGCAATCGTAGGCACAACTGGTCACACGAATGTGTGAGAGACTACGCGAAGGATCGTGGTTCGCGCGCTTTGATGTCCGTTAAAAAACCGACATTAGAGTAGGACAGGGGTAGGCAAAGTGACGCCCGAGGGCGCCATTGCGCCCCCGATCAATTTTTAATGCTTTTTTTTTCCCCTGCCTAAGCTGAGAGCCTTGAGAGGCTATTTCAGCGTAACCCTAACTTTTGTAGGTGAGCTCACGGGGCTCAAACCTGATGACGTTGCTAACACGAACCCTAGCAAGAGCCGTGCTTCGCAGAATCTACCACCGGATCAGAAACGCGACCCACTGAGAAGATCCGGCGAGAAACTCAGTGGGCTGTGTCTGAGAGTTAATTTACTCGTCGAGCCCTTCGTCGCAAGCGACGGGTTCGACGAGAACGGTGACCGGTGCTTGAAGTGCCTAGAAGCACCGTTAGTGGATCGGGAGGATCCGAAATGACGTGTTTTGGGCTACGTCGACTGCTTTCCATTCTGTCCGCAGGATCGGGGATGTAGTTACCGGCGGCCACGATGAGAGGGTTCTCGTGTCGTGCCGCTTTATCGAAGTGGCGCATCGACGCCGACTGTAGATACTTACTGATGGACTCTAAGTCCAGGTCGTCATGGAGGTCGACGTTCCTGACGAACCACGGGGCTCCGACGGCTATCCTGCAAAAACGGGATTGAATAATTTGGAATGATTTTAAGTGAATGCGGGCCGCGTGAGCGAACACTACACTTGCATAGGTCATGACGGGGCGTATGCAAGTTTTGTAGAGTGTCACCTTATTTCTAAGGGACATTTTACTTCGCCTACATATCATCGGGTAGAGANGAACATCGTGATTGGGCGAATGGCGGGAGCGGAGGTGTTGACGCGCCTAGTCGGGAGGGGGATGCTCAGCGTGGTGTTCGGAGGGCGACCCCTTTTGAAGAGCACCGCTGTGCTTTTCGTGGGGTTGATGTCGATTAAACTGAATAAGTTCGACAAACAGGACGGTACACAGGCACACGTGTCGATTCGAAAATAATGCGATAAAAGAATACGATAAAATAACAACGTTATTTAGTTCCACGAAATAGAATAGGTTCAATATTCACGGGAAAACCATACAAAAACAATGATAAGAAGTTCCACGAAAGTTAAAAATGAGTCATAAAATAGCAGATGTTAAATTTGTAATTTGTTTTGTCATTTGTTCCTCCTAAATAATATAAATAAATAAATAAAGCTCGGCTGTCGCTTATAGAGGTATAGATATGTAGCAGTCTCACTTACGGAGGTCCATGAGGAAAAAACGACTCTCTCTTACAGAGGTTTCTGTTTCTCGCTAATAGAGGTTTTGAGAGCTTAAAATGACGGGTCCTTGCTATTACTCTCACTTATAGAGTTTTCTTACTTATCCAGTTCTCACTTACCCAGGTTTGACTGTATACGCATTTTTTGTTAATGTGTGATCGTATTTCGAATAAGCCACGCGTAGACCGTGCATTTAACACTACCAAGTAATTCGAAATAATTGTTTTCTTTCAAAATCCTTCATGGATAAATGTAAAAGAAAAAGAACATATTATTTTAACGATGAATGGGAACATCTATATTGTTTCGTTAATCACAAAGGGAAGTGTATTTGTTTGTTGTGTATTAATAGTGTTGCGATTCCCAAGAAAAGTAATATTGAACGACATTTTAAGACCGTTCATACCAATTTTGATAGTGACTATCCAATGAACTCTGAAATCAGAAGAAAAAAAATTAATTCTTTAAAATCTTCAATACCTAACCAGGAGAGTTTTTTTACTAAACCACTGCAACAACATAAGGCAGCAACAATCGCGTCATATAAAATATCGCATTTGCTAGCTAAGAATAAAAAAACATTTACAGATGGAGAATTAGTGAAAGAAGCCATGTTAGAAGCTGCCGATTCACTTTTTGAAGAATTTCAAAATAAAAAGGAAATACTTTCAGCTATAAACACGTTGCAATTATCAGCAAGAACGGTTACTAGAAGAATTGAAGTAATTGCGAAGAATTTGGAGGCGGAATTAGCAAATGATATGGAAAATTTTATTTTCTTTTCGCTACAGATGAACGAATCGACAGACGTGACGAATATATCACAATTAGCAATTTGCGTGAAGATGGTATTTTCTGATTTTACAACAAAAGAAGAATTCCTTAAAGTTCTGCCATTAAAAGGAAGCACCAGAGGAGAAGATATCTTTTCTAATTTTAAAAAGTATATAACGGATGTAAAATTACCTGTACAAAAGTTATCGTCAATTATAACAGACGGGGCACCAGCGATGATTGGTAAGAAAAAAGGATTTATTGCCTTGTGTAGACAGGATTTCTTATTCCCGAAATTTATTTCTTATCATTGCCTCATACATCAGAAAATGTTATGCGCAAAAACAAACGATCTCCAAAACGTATTTACGATAGTAACAAAAATTATTAATTCCATAAGATCGGAAGCTATGCAACACAGATTGTTTAAATTACATTTAGAAGACGAAGACACAGATCTTCTTTTACATACTGAAATGATTTGGCTGAGCAGAGGTAAAATACTTGAGCAGTTTATTAAGCATTTGCCACAAATAAAGGAATTTATCGCATCAAGAGGCGAATTTTATGAGCAATTAGAAAATAACGATTGGCTAATCAACTTCGGATTTCTGACAGATATAACGGCAAACTTGAATGAATTAAATTTAAAAATACATGGGAAAAATCAGCATATCGCTGACATGATTAGTGCAGTAAATGCATTCAATTGCAAGTTAGTGTTGTCGGAAATCACATTTCCCAAATATAAAATATTATTGTTGGGAGTTTAAATTTAAATAATGAAAATTTAACTGTTACATCATATTTAGAAATTATAGATGAGCTAATAGAAGAGTTTTCATCTAGATATGAAGATTTTGCAGCATTAGAACCCGTTCTAATATTTTTTATAAATCCATTCAATGTTACTGAAGATGATGTCCTTGAAATAGTTTCAGTGTATTTCGAGCTTCATAACATCGAAGATCTAGAATTAGAAATAATAAACTTGCAAAGTGATATTTTTTTAAAAGCGCATAATAATGATAAAATGTTTTGGAACTTAGTCGATGAAAATAAGTATCCTAATTTAAGAAAATGTGAGCCAAAAATTCATTCATATTGTTCAACAACATACAATTGCCAGTCTCTGTTGTCGAATATGAAATATTTGAAATCAAAATACCGAACAAAACTTAATGACTCACATTTAGATAATTGTTTAAGGACCGGGAACTCTGGATATATCCCCAATTATAAGAAATTACGTGAAAATATGGACACCCAAGTTTCACACTGAATTATATGTATGATTGATTATGTATGACACCAACAAAATAAAGTTATAAAAAATCTGGTTTTTTTTAATGCCTTGTTAATAAAACTCCAATAATACAACTCGCTTTATAATAATTAATATTTCATACATTTGGAGATTAACATAATTTCTTATGAGCGGTCGAAACGTCCGCTGTTCGCGATCGATATAAAAAAATTATGATTTTTATAAATTTTTTGTAGATAGATTGTTTATCCATATTAGTTTAGCACTATAGGTTATATTTACCTACTCAATTACATTTGAATATATAAATAGTTGGAATATTAAATACTAAATTTTGTTTCAACTAAACAATTTACAAAAAATATAAATTTTTTCCACCCTACTCACTCTGTTTAAAACTACTGTATTCATATTATTATCATTTCCACTTCCTACATTATATATAGGCGTTATTTCGGTGAGTCCTCCAATACTCCAATTCCATCAAATAACTCGCTGTTTACAAATAGTTTGTCCCATAGACAAGACGATGCTCCTTATTTCTACCCTCCATACTTCAACAAGTATATTAATATAATGAAATTTAAATAGATATAAATAATGTTTGAATTGTTAACGTTATTTAAAAACAAAATAAGTTATTTTGATACTCTTTCATGCTGTGTACTATATTATTTTGATACTCTTTGATGCTACATATTTCGAAAAGCAACTTTTTAAGGATAATGACATTTAAATGTATATAAATAATGTTTGAATTTTTGACATTATTTAAAACAAAATAAGTTATTTTGATACTCTTTGATGCTGTGCGCATATTTGGAGAAGCAATCTTTTTTGGAACGAAGTTTCTTATGGGACGATGCGGAGGGGCACCCTAACCGGGAAAAAATCGTCCGTAACGTAAGATTTTTATTATTTATGTATAGTCTTAGTATGATGGCTATACCATAGATTATACACGGCTATACAGTGTCTAATGTATAGTCTACGTGATGACGGTTATTATTATTATTATTCATATAAATAGCTGTTTCTTTGTATATTATTATTATTATATATTTTTTATAAATCATTGTGAATAAAATAAAGTTGATAACTTTGTAAAATAGATTTTTTATTTTAATATCAATAAAAAAATCATAATAAAAAATTTATACCTGAATAATTATTTTCTTTATACCTCGAATAGAACTTACGATTAATATTTTTATAATTATAGAACTTCGTTCCTGTCCGGTGTAACACAACGCCACACATCTTTTCTTTTTAAGGTCGACGACCCAAAACATAACCTACAAAATTGAAATAAACTTTACCTGTACAGCTTACTGTTTAAATGGCAGCTCTTTTTCGTGTCGTACACCGTGGTCCACGGCTGAGTTTTGCACGTGACGTTTCTAAACTCACCCCTCCAGCCTCCTAGTAGGAACGATGTTTTTTCCACGCATTTAGCGTCCTTAAAGGAAAGATAATAAGTAAGTTAACGAATTATTTTCTTCAATTTATACTATAACTATACTTGAGACCTTAGAACTTATATCTCAGGGTGGGTGGCGCATTTACGTTGTGGATGTCTATGGGCGCCAGTAACCACTTAACACCAGGTGGGCTGTGACCTCGTCCATCCATCTCAGCAATAAAAAATTATACGTGTCGTAAACACAATTAAGATTATGTACTTTTACGATTTAATGTTGCGTTGTTTGAAGTGAAACATCTTTAGGTGCGTTGAGAGTAAAATTTAAGTCGCAACAGATTCGTTACGGCTAGAGAGAAAAGATACAATTTAGGACGAGCGAGAGTGAGAGAATAGACAGAGCGTCTCGCGAACCACTCGACTGCGGAGAGAGGGAGAAGACAAACTGAGCTATGTCGTTTCTCTTATACACAGCATTCCCTATTACAAGAGAAAATTGATTTAAAGATGAAAAATGAAGAAAACCACAATACTGCACTCCGCAAAAGAAGTTTCACTTCTTTCATGTGCACCAAGTTGCACGCGCACCTTTTTTATTTATTGTCATTATATTTGCTGTCGCCATTTCGGTTACTGTATACAGCTTGGTAACATTTATTGACGTGATAACGTCTTATAAATGAACACCGGCTGCACGCACGAAAAAGTGTCACGTTCCGCCTGCAAGCGAGAACGCGGAACAAGCGATAGAGAGGCACGATCGGCGAAGCGTTGGCTTGTGACACATTTATCTCTCCTTAATTGGCTCCCTTACAGCCGACGCTTTTTAATACATCGAAATGGTTCTCCTTACTTCTACCCTCCATACTCTTCGAGCAGAGATAGCGCCACTATGTAGCGGGTAACCATCATACAACACAAGATATTTTACAGATGCCTGAATCTCGCTTACGACATTTTCAAGATAAGCTTGCCTTTATACAAATTCCGAACAACCACATTCGAATTTCACGTCCTTACGGATCTAACAGATCCAATAACGTTTGCATTAGACGTCTTCAGCTTTAACACTAGGAGTAGAGACCCCGGTAACCGTACTCGTCAAACTCGGCAAAGAGTTCGACGTGCAACCTAACCCATAGAAACAGCCCACGAGTGTCTCGCCGGATCTTCTCAGCTGGTCGCGATTCCGATCCGGTAGTAGACTCAATCGCGAAGCAGCTGCTCTTGAGGTGTTAGGTCTCCTTTGAAGGCGCTCGGGCACTTGTTAGCAAATCCCACCCCACCTGGCTGAGCCTTTACTCGCGAAACTGGAAAGGCCTTTGGGCCACCAGTATACCTTCAATCATAAAAAAAACTCTTCACCATTGACCGAGAGGCATAGCGACGCACGTAAATTTTAGAAATTTACCTCGAAAAAAAAAAGATTCTAAAGAAAGTTAAAGTTACTAAGTGTATAATCTATGGTTTCGACTCACTAAAACGTCAAATTGTCTTCCGTTTCCCGTTTCGTTGCCGAGAACGATGTGGTTGTGTCTTCCCGGGCAGGCCACCACCATTAACTCACCGCTTCTCAAACTTATTCTGTCGGTCAGATTCGGAATCAAGAACTGATTGTTCTTTATGTAGACCGGCGATGGATTACCGAAATCGGAGTTCAATGACAGGACGCAACCTAAAATAACAGCTAAAATATATGAGCTTCAAATATGATAATAATTGTACATAGACATACATGCTTTAACAAAAGCCGACTTCAAATAGAAAAAAAGGATGTTCCAAAACAAATGAATGTATATACAAAAAACAATAATCAGTGAAATCGGTTTGCGTGATATTGAGTTATTGAGTTATTCATCTATTTGTCGCGCACGTATTACTTAATGCAAATTTAAGACTTATATGGTTTTCTCATGGATACCATTTTATCAGAACTGGACTAAATTGCAATGGAGCCACACGAGAAACGTCAGCTTTCGAATAAAAAAAGAATCATCAAAATCGATTCACCCGGTCAAAAGTTATGAGGTAACAACTTCCTTTTCTGAAGTCGGTTAATAGAAATAGGCAGGGAGGTACCTACCCGTGCGGACTCACAAGATGTCCTGCCACTAGTAATTAAACAAATTATAATTTTGCGGGTTTGATTTTTATTGCACGATCCTGCAACGTGGAAGTCAAACGTGTGACCATTTGTTAAGTACGTATTTCATTACAAAAATTGGTACCCGCCTGCGGGATTCGTACACCGGTGCATCGCTACATACGAATGCACCGGACGTCTTATCCTTTAGGCCACGACTTTACTTAGGTTACTTAGTTTTGTTGCTGAGTTTGTTGGATGAGTTCAAGCTTGGTATTGAATGAGGCCGTCAGCGCAAAAGTGGCTTAACCTTACTGTAGTTAGTATGGACATAATGAGGCTTGATTTTACTTTTACACTGCCTCGTAAGCAAAAACAATACGCGCAAAATAATGTTTACAACGCCATCTGTTATCTAGAGGTGGAACTAGGGATAGGTTGGTTTTGCATAAAATTTTATTATGCTTTAAATAAATGGCAAACGAATATGAAGGATTGTGGGTATGGCCACTTTTACGCTGACGACCTCAAATAGAATCTATAGATATAGAGAGAGTAAATTCCGTAATCCACATTGAAAGACGAGCTCTAAAGAAGTCTCACTTCTTTCACGTACACCTTTCCACCACCCTGCCTATTTCTGCCGTGAAGCAGTAATGCGTTTCGGTTTGAAGGGCGAGGCAGCCGTTGTAACTATACTGAGACCTTAGAACTTATGTCTCAAGGTGGGTGGCGCATTTACGTTGTAAATGTCTATGGGCTCCAGTAACCACTTAACACCAGGTGGGCTGTGAGCTCGTCCACCCATCTAAGATATAAATAAAAAAAAAAGAAACATAACCGCGCGGGCTCTCAAGACTGCTAGTACGTAATATCATCATCGGTGATGATCGGTGTTGAAAATTAAGAAACTGTCTGTAATGATTTAAAAAAGTTGCTGACTTAATACATATTTGTAAATAATAAATCAATTTACAGATACCAATTTTTCTAATGAAATACGTACTTAACAAATGTTCACGATTGACTTCCACGGTGAAGGAATAACATCGCGTAATGAAAATCAAACCCGCATAATTATAATTAGCGTAATTACTGGTAGTAGACTCTCTTGTGAGCCGCACGGATAGGTACCACCACCCTGCCTATTTCTGCCGTGAAACAGTAATGCGTTTCGGTTTGAAGGGTAGGGCAGCCGTTGTAACTATACTGAGACCTTAGAACTTATACGAGTACCTTAAGGGCGGCGCATTTACCTTGAAGATGTCGATGGGCTCCAGTAACCACTTAACACCAGATGGGCTGTGGGTTCGTCTACCCATCTAAGCAATAAAAAAAATACTGTCAACCTGCCTATTTCGGCCGGGAACAGTCTCTAATACATATTATTAATATGAAACATAATTTTAATAATTATTTATCTTATTCGTTCAAGAATGAAGGAATACTGTATACAGTTGATGGAGAAGCCAAAACCATAAAACAATGAATTGCATTATTAATTAAGTTACTTACCAGCATCTACGTCGTAATTATTCAAAAACAAATAAGCCATTAAAAAACTCATAAAGAGAAATTTAAATGAATATCTAAATAACGACATTTCGAAAATATATGATAGTGACATCTAGCGGTTGCAGAACGAACTGTTTCACTGTATTTTTGTAAACAAAGCACGCGCGAATTACCTACGTGTAGGAGGCAGCTAATGTGAATGTGAACTGAAGAAATTGATTACATTACAAAAGAAATAATCTAATCAAGACGGCAAGGTCGGGAATCGAATAAGCATGTCGAATGGAAAATTGTGCTTTCAAGCAATAGTTATACGGTCGAATTTTGTTTTTGCATAACCGTGATGTAAAGTGCTAACAATGGTGACTCTTACTAGTAGTTCACGAAGCGAAAAACGAACAAATCCGTGATTCGTAAACGTTATTTATATGAATCTCGCTTCCGCAAATAAGTACACACACTTCAGTGGACACGAAGAGTGTAGATAAAAAAAATTTTATGAATATGATTTGGAGTATAGAACCATTCGTGAACTAATAAACTGCACCGTCACAAATTCAAATTTCATTCGTCAAAAATTACACCCAAGTTTAGAATTAAGCCCGTAACTAATCGATCGGCTGAGACGCCAGGGAATAATGTCGGAATTACAAAAATTAATTCACCAAGGAACGTAATTTTAGAATTCAATCAAGCCTCATACGCATACCCGCTACAGAAAATTAATGTAAATTTAAACCTGGTGCTATCGTATCATACCTAGCCTCTCGTTAACCGCTGATAGACCATTGATAAACTATATTGCTGGAGAGGATGAGGACTTGGAAATCATTGGGTGACGCATGAGTATTGTATTCTCTGACTCAGTGTGCTTAGTGCTAGTTTTTTAACTTGTCGATCATGTAAAAGTTAACTCAAAGTTGTATGGAGTTGGTACAGCGCCCTAGCGACAAACGAAGGACGGAACAGACTGGGTTTTCCAAAGTTCGCGGCGCCGTCAAAACATAATTTGAACCCTTTGCATTTCACGCCTTCAGCTCTAACACTAGGAGCAGGCTTAAGGACCCCGTTAACCGTACTCGTCGAACTCGGCAAAGAGGTCGACGTGCAACCTAACCCATGCGTTAGCTCGCTGAGTTTCTCGCCAGATCTTCTCAGCGGGTCGCGATTCCGATCCAGTAGTAAATTCATTCGCGAAGCAGTTGCTCTTGAGTTGTTAGGTCTCTTTCGGAGGCGCTCGGGCAGCTGTTAGCAAATCCCACCCCTCCTTTGCTCGCCCACCTATCCTTGTGAAACTGGAAAGTCGTCCAGTAATCCTAAAAAAAATTGAACCATATTCGCATAGAGGGTGTAGCTATTTAAACGCCACACCAATGCCATTGAATGTGTATTCCAAATTCTCGAACTCGCAAATTCGTGATCGCAAGAATTTTACATTCGTGAAACGCTAGTAGTGAAACGTAATGACGTCATAGCATAGACAGTTATGTACAGCTAAGCACAGATATTCTTAATGATATCAAATTTATATTTTTTAAGATTATTTTACGATTAAAAAAATACCGGAAATTTTGCAATGAAAATCATTACCATTAACCACTGAGACTTAGAACTCATGCTTTAATATGAGTGGTGGTGTGGGAGTATCGGTAAAAATGCGACGACCGGTTCGCCTATGCACCGTTGCCCACGTCATCACGGATCCTCCTGATCCATTAACGGTGCTTTTAGGCAATACAAGCACCGGTCACCGTCCTCGTCGAACCCGTCGCTTGCGACGAAGGGCTCGACGAGCGAATTAACCCACAGACACAGCCCACTGAGTTTCTCGCCGGATCTTCTCAGTGGGTCGCGCTTCCGATCCGGTGGTAGATTCTGCGAAGCACTGCTCTTNTAGGTATACTCCGATTCTTATTCAAATAATGTACTTCACAATCTTTTCCAAATAATAGGTCCTGAACCAAAAAACTATTAATTTGTAAGCAATATCGAGATAATTTCGATATAGACATTTCGCTGTCGGACTTCCTTACTAGTCGCGGCGGCGAACGTGAGTACCCGTGGCCTGCAAACGGTGCTGCGCGAATGGTCGCCTCGTCCACCGCTTTGCTGTTCGCACCGCCGATCCCCGTGGCCAGGCCGTAAGGGAAAGACGTCCGGTGCATTCGTGTTGAGCGATGCACCGGTGTTCGAATCCCGCAGGCGGGTACTAATTTTTCTAATGAAATACGTACTTAACAAATGGTCACGATTGACTTCCACGGTGAAGGAATAACATCGTGTAATAAACGGGTACGGGCACGGGTACCACCACCCTGCCTATTTCTGCCGTGAAGCAGTAATGCGTTTCGGTTTGAAGGGTGGGGCAGCCGTTGTAACTATACTGAGACCTTAGAACTTATACGAGTACCTTAAGGGCGGCGCATTTACCTTGTAGATGTCGATGGGCTCCAGTAACCACTTAACACCAGGTGGGCGGTGCGATCGTCCACCCATCTAAGCAATAAAAAAATCTGTCAACCTGCCTATTTCGGCCGGGCAGCAGTCTCTAATACATATTATTAATATAAAACATAATTTTAATAATTATTTATCTTATTCGTTCAAGAATAAAGGTATACTGTATACAGTTGATAGAGAAGCTTAAACCATAAAACAATGGATTGCATTATTAATTAAGTTACTTACCAGCATCTACGTCGTAACTGTTCAAAAACAAATAAGCCATTAAAAAACTCATAAAGAGAAATTTAAATGAATATCTAAATAAAGACATTTCAAAAATATATGATAGTGACATCTAGCGGTGGCAAAACGAACTGTTTCACTGTATTTTTGTAAACAAAGCACGCGCGAATTACCTACGTGTAGGAGGCAACTAATGTGAATGTGAACTGAAGAAATTGATTACATTACAAAAGAAATAATCTAATCAAGACGGCAAGGTCGGGAATCGAATAAGCATGTCGAATGGAAAATTGTGCTTTCATGCTATAGTTATACGGTCGAATTTTGTTTTTGCATAACCGTGATGTAAAGTGCTAACAATGGTGACTCTTACTAGTAGTTCACGAAGCGAAAAACGACCAAATTCTCGATTCGTAAACGTAATTTATATGAATCTCGCTTCCGCTAATAAGTACACACACTTCAGTCGACACGAAGAGTGTAGATAATTTTTTTTTTTATGAATATGATTTGGAGTATAGAACCATTCGTGAACTAACAAACTGCGCCGTCACAAATTCAAATTTCATTCTTCAAAAATTACACCTAGGCTTAGAATTAGGCCCGTAACTAATCGATCGGCTATTCTATTTTTTTATTATTTTTTTTATTTATTCTATCGACTATTCTCTGGCTCAGTATGCTTAATGCTAGTTTTTTCGATCACGTAAAAATTATCTCAAATTTGTATGGAGTTGGTACAGCGCCCCAGCGGCAAACGAAGGACAGAACAGACTGGGTTTTCCAATGTTCGCGGTGCCCTCAAAACATAATTTGAACCCTTTGCATTGGACGCCTTCAGCTCTAACACTAGGAGCAGGCTTAAGGACTCCGGTAACCGTACTCGTCGAACTCGATAAAGAGGTCGACGTGCAACCTAACCCATGCATCAGCCCGCTGAGTTTCTCGTCGGATCTGCTCAGCAGGTCGCGATTCCGATCCGGTAATAGATTCATTCGCGAAGCAGTTGCTCTTGAGTTCTTAGGTCTCTTTCGGAGGCGCTCGGGCAGCTGTTAGCAAATCCCACCCCTCCTTTGCTCGTCCACCTATTCTTGTGAAACTGGAAAGTCGTCCAGTAATCCTAAAAAAATTTAACCATATTCGCATAGAGGGTGTAGCTATTTAAACGAAACACCAATGCCATTGAATGTGTATTCCAAATTCTCGAACTCGCAAATTCGTGATCGCAAGAATTTTACATTCGTGAAACGCTAGTAGTAAACGTAATGACGTCATAGCATAGACAGTTATGTACAGCTAAGCACAGATATTCTTAATGATATCAAATTTATATTTTTTAAGGTTATTTTACGATTAAAAAAAATACCGGAAATTTTGCAATGAAAATCATTACCATTAACCACTGAGACTTAGAACTTATGCTTTAATATGAGTGGTGGTGTGGGTGACTATGGCTATGGGTGGTGTGGGAGTATCGGTAAAAATGCGACGACCGGTTCGTCTATGCACCGATGTACTAGCGAAATATTATCGCCGCCGCTATACTGCAGTTATCGCCCGACTTTGCTTGTAAATTTATTTTGTTTAGTCTAAATAATGTTTTGTATGATTGTGTGATAAATGAATGTGTTGATATAAAATAAAGTATGTATGTGTTGTTGTGTAGTGTAATTATAATAAAATATTATAAAATAAATAAATACATGTGAGTCACCCACAGTGGAATCTACGTTTACGTTGACTTATCGGCTCCGCTAACAGCTTAACACCAGATGAGCTGCAAATTCGCTAACCTGTCATCAATATCATCATCATTCTCCAGCCCTTCTCCCAGTCACCTAGGGTCGGCGCAACATGTTTTCTCCTTCCATACTCCTCTATCATATACCATTTCTTCGCTAACTCCCCTCTTAAACATATCGTCTTTCACGTAATCCATTTCTTTTTACGTCTACCTCTTCCTTGCAAATTCGCTGACCTGTGTATATACGCGATAAAAACAAAAACAAAACACCGAACGATGTGTTAAATATTCCGTGTGTTAAAAACGTTTCTTTCAATTATGGCGGCGACGATACAAATCAAACGAGTGACTCTTCTCGACTTGAATCCCGTTATGTGGAAGTCGTTTTCGTCATTGCGATGTTATCAGAAAATTTCCTAGGAGATAACGCGTTGATGGAAGAGCCTAGTGATTTAGAAACAGAAAGACTACAGTCAGCGGCGGTGTCACGACGACCAACTAACTCCCTTGAGTGACGAGACTCACCATAAAAAAGGCTTTTATTTATTTATTTTTTATTGCTTAGGTAGGTGGTACATCTACAACGTAAATGACCTACCTATAACGTAAACCCACCTTGAGATATAAGTTCTAAGGTCTCAAGTATAGTTACAACAGCTGGCCCCGCCCTTCAAACCGAAACGCATCGCTGCTTCACGGCAGAAATAGCCAGCGTGGTGGTACCTACCCGCGCGGACTCACAAGAGGTCCTACCACAAGGCTGCATGCTCGTCTACCTATATACACGGGCTTATTGACTGCTTATGTTTGGCTGATTCGGTGGTGTAGTAATTAGCCTCCCTAACTTTGCGCCGAGGGTCGTGGGTTCGATTCCCGCATCGGACAAGCATTTATGTGATGAATATGTCAGTTTGCTCATTATCTATGTATGTATATATTTCAACGTATATATGTACACTTCGCCAGGAGTGTACGACTGAGAAGAAGAAAAATGTATGACAGTCAATGGTACCAATACCACAGGGAATCCTAAATTGGGGCCGGATCTACAGTTCCCAGTTATTATTTAATAACGGTACTAAATTAAATATTTTCGTTAAAACGTTCTCTGCTTACAGTCATACATATATTTTTATTTTATTTTATTCTACGGGCTGCCCTAACAACTTAATACCAATTTCCATTATAATATGTACAGTTCATTCTATCTATCTCAATCTATCTGTAATACTTCTGCCTCCCATGATCTGTGATTTTCAAAAAGGTAAATACACTCTGTACTATCTGCTGCAAGGTCAATTATCAAGCAAAATGTATAAATACCAGCTGTACCCGTCCGCTTTGCTGGGCATTTAAAATTAACATTATTATTTCTCACCCCCACAAAGATTCTCATCATTAACGCCCCCGCAACTGGTGTAGGGATTTCAACACTCATATAAATATTAGCCTATCCATTAAGAACATGTATTTTCTACATGGATACCAAGTTTCAAGTCCATCGGATGCACGGTTCAGTAGTTATAACGGAACATCCGTAAAAACCACTGTAGATTTATATATTAGTATAGATTTTATCCTTCTGACTTCCATCGCATCAGATAAATGCATAATATAATGTAAAGTATTTATTAATACTGTGTACAAAGCTAGTGTGTTTGTAATTAAACTAAAAACATTAATCTATGTTGTAATTATTTATTTTATAGGTAAAAGATCTCCCCAATTAGCAGACCTAGCACATCTGTACATAGTCTGATCATGCTTCCCTTTAGAAAATATAATTTCTTTTAACTCTCCTTGTGCTGTGCACATCCGACAGATCGTGTGTCCGGACCTAACAATCGGAGCCCTTACAATCCTAGGCCACTGTGGATCGTCGTTTGGTCGATCACCTTTCCTTAAAATTACATATGTGTACAAATCTGCTAAAACTTCAGACTTTGAATGGTAGCCTAGCGATCCGTATTTCATTAAGAAGTTACACGGAGTTTGATGGTCGAGGTATCTCGGACAAACACTGTCGTTTGGACACGGAGAGAATGCGTAACCTCTATTACTGCTGTCTTTTGGGAGATTCAAAATGAATTCTCTGGCTTCGTTTACAGCTCTGAATCCAGCATTTGTTCCGTGTTCGATGATTATTAAGAAATCTTCGGTCTTGTTCCATAGTTTTTGTATTGTTTCTAATCTTGATTTCATCGAGGGTAGTTCAAATAATGAGTACGCGGACAAAACTATATTGTACCTCAGATCTGTGGAAGCAGGTAGAAATTGACGCTGGTAATAACATTTATACGGTAATTCGACGTTGTCCTTGCCTTCACACAAAATTAAGCGTGCCAAATCGTGCATGTGAGCCGATGTATCGACACAAAAATATTCATAAATTTCTCCTTTCCAATATGTGTTCAGTGCCCATGTACCGGTCCCGACGCCGGAACCAAAGTCAAAAAAGCTTCGTGGCTTGTAATCTGGTAGAACCCTTCTGATCTCATCTAATACGCGAACCAAGACAGCGTATTCCGGGGCAGCCCTGGTCATCAAATATTGAAGACTAGTAGGTTTATCGTACGATATATTACCCCAACGGTACACGTTCGTTTTTAATATATTAAATACAGTATTCTGTACCTGTTTTTTCATGTTTTGCAACTCCTCCTGGCTCAATTCTTTGTTTATTTTAGAGAATGTCCGTTGTGAAATGCTGTCGTGAATTTGCGCGGCTTTCAAATTAATTTCCTTTTCTTCTGGCGGCAGTAGCCTAGACTGCAGATGGTTTTTGAGCTTAATGCTCTCCTGATGTAAAGATTTAGCTCGTGCATCGTCTAGGATTATTTTAATTGCCTTCCGAATATCCGCAGGTATTGATGCTATTTTTACACGATTGGTTCCTGGATGTTTCCGTGGCTTATAGATCTGCGCGTCAAAGCTTTCCTTTAAATTTGGATCTATTGAGACTTTGGTTGAGTAGTTGGCGCTTAAAGACGAAATATGTGAATATTTGAGTTTACGAAACATTTTTGTAACCTTAAAGTACTTTAGGGATCATCACAACAAACCATAACAAAACGCATTCTGAAATATAATCTATGTAACTGTCAACAAACTGTCAAAACATAATGTTTTTCGATTCTTGAAAGTTAAAGCAAAAGGTTTCGATTTTCTGCCTATTAATTTTAAAACGTATTAAATTAAAATAAAATTAACAGTATGTACATAAATTGAAATAAAACTATGTTTATTCGATCGTATCATGATTTAATGTTTATTTTTATTTATTTCTTCCTGTTTATGTTTGTTGATACAATCTCTGAAATTATTAACTGCGGTTTGACACTTTCTCCAGTCTTTCGTTTCGGCGATGCATTCCTAAAAATGTTCAAACAAACATTAATTACTTTGAATTATCTCTATATATAAAAATGAATTGCTGTTCGTTAGTCTCGCTAAAACTCGAGAACGGCTGAACCGATTTGGCTAGTCTTTAATTATTTGTGGAAGTCCAGAGAAGGTTTAAAATGTAAATGTGTTCCCCGTCGGTCTTTTATTTATCGATTGAGGCACTACGAAGTCTGCCGGGTCAGCAAGTAAAATATAAAAACAAACCTAGATATTATAACTTTCAAATGTGACTCAAAACANGTTCGTTAGTCTCGCTAAAACTCGAGAACGGCTGAACCGATTTGGCTAGTCTTTAATTATTTGTGGAAGTCCAGAGAAGGTTTAAAATGTAAATGTGTTCCCCGTCGGTCTTTTATTTATCGATTGAGGCACTACGAAGTCTGCCGGGTCAGCAAGTAAAATATAAAAACAAACCTAGATATTATAACTTTCAAATGTGACTCAAAACATGTCGGTATATTAAATTAGTAGTGTATTGCATTTTATACTTAATACAATTAAATTAACTTACGTGAATCATTTTTAAAACAAACCTGCACTTTATAGTGTAGTTCCAGACAGCCAGTTTTTTTCAGCATGCCTTCCACGGGATCATCATCACTGCCGATTTGTTCTCGAGGTTTTATAGTCATATTTTTGTAGGAAATACGTTTTATTGGCAATATTAATTTTTTTGGTCAAACTATAGCACAACAAGAACATAACCTTAAAACAAATCAGCTGAGAAGTTGACGTATTATATTGGAAATTTGAAACTATCATGCTGTTGGCTTAAAAGTATAATTACAAGTTACTTTTATATTCTGTTGCATTATAACTTGTATTCCGTTTCACGCATAGCAACAAAAAGCTTTGTCAATTCAAAATGCTAAGGTTAAATGATTATAATAATCCATTATTCACGTAATCAACTAACACTTTCCGCCCGCTCATAGTGTCTACAATCACCCGCAATATGACTCATGAGCAACATCTGTTGGTTGACGATCATAATTTGTCGCTATAATATTGAGAAAATGCCGCTGCCGAATATAAATAATATTTATTTTATTTATTTACAGTCTTTAATGCTGCCTGTTCCTTGGTTGATACGCTCACGAGAAACCAAGATTTGCACGAGCGTTCTCATCATATTCTCCATTCCTAGAAGAATAACCAAATATTGTTTTTCCAGCGCTTAAAGTTTTAACTAACAGTAATGACTAGTTCATCATCAGTAAGAATTAAATGAAATTAGAGTTACAATAACAGATGTTTTAACAAAAATGTAGTATTACTGCGTGCGCTAAGAGATACATACATCAGAAAAACTTTCTTTAACCTTACGTAATTTTTTATTTTTTTTATTGATAGATCTGTGGACGAGCTCACAGCCCACCTGATGTTAAGTGGTTACTGGAGCCCATAGACATCTACAACGTAAATGCGCCACACACCTTGAGATATAGTTCTAAGGTCTCAGTATAGTCACAACGGCTGCCCCACCCTTCAAACCGAAACGCATTACTGCTTCACGGCAGAAATAGGCGGGGCGGTGGTAAAACTGCCTATTGTACAAATGTATCTACTTTACAACTGTTTAACCAGCCCACTGAGTTTCTCGCCGGATCTTCTCAGTGGGTCGCGTTTCCGATCCTGTGGTAGATTCTGCGAAGCATTACTCTTACTAGGGTTCGTGTTAGCGTCGTCGTCAGGTTTGAGCCCCGTGAGCTCACCTACTAGTTACGGTTAAGCTGGAATAGCCTCTCTAGGCTACCAGCTTAGGTTTAAAAAAAAACGACTGTTTTTTTTTTAAATGTTAATTGTGTTTTGGTGTGCAATAAAATATATTCTCTCTCTGACCTTACCTTATTTTACTATAACTTTAAGTGCAGAAAGTGTCCGTTGACAGGGATCAAATGAAGGTAGCGCCACAGTAGCAAGTGGAAATGTTTTAAAAACTGCGCCTTAAACTATCACACTTCTTTTTATTTTTTTCCCTCCCTATTCGCCGGTAGCCTAAGAGGTTATCCCAGCTACGCCCGGACGGGTAGGTGAGCTTACGGGCTCAACCTGAGAGAATTTGCTAACACTAGCCCTGGCAAGAGCAGTGCTTCACAGAATCTACCACTGGATCGGAATCGCGACCCACTGTGAGAGATCCGGCGAGAAACTCAGTGGGCTGCGTCTATGGGCTAATTCACTCGTCGAGCCCTTCATCGCAAGCAATGCGTTCGACGAGAACCGAGACCGGTGCTTGAGGGGCCTAAAAGCACCGAGAGTGAATCCGGGGGATCCGACAAGACATGTTTCGGGCGACGGCGGATTTGCATTGCCCTGTCGGGGTCGGGGTAATTAGCGGCGGCCACGATAAGTTCTTTGTGTCTCGCCGCTTTGTCGAAGTAGCGTTTCGACGCTTCCTTTAGATTTTTACGTATCGGTACTAAACTTAGGTCGCCGTGAAGATCTACATTCCTCACATACCACGGTGCTCCGACGGCTATCCTGCAGAAACGGGATTGGATGACCAGTGTGCTTAGTGCGAGTTTTCTAACGTTCTCGATAACGTAAAGGTTAGCTCATATTTGTATGGAATGGTATCGTTTGCCTATGTTTGCCGCTAGGGGCGCTGTTCCAACTGCATACAAAATTGGGCTAACTTTTACGCTATCGAGAACGTTAGAAAACTCGCACTAAGCACACTGGAGAGCAAATACGTGTACGGGCCGCGTGAGCGAACACTACACTTGCATAGGTCATGACGAAACGTATGCAAGTTTTATAGTGTCACCTTGTTATGAAGAGACATTGTACTTCGCTTGCAGATCATGGGGTAGAGTCGACCGAGTTAGAACGCGGCTCGGTCGCGTACTGACTCAATATGGGACCCGAATGTCATCCCTTATCGAGTGACGCCTAAGTACTTAGCCTTCGAAGCCCTAGGTATGGGCTGGCCAAGGATTTTTATAGCGGCAATGGAGTTACGGCCCCTAGTCAGTGACGAGATACTAACAGTAGTGTCGGGATATCACACTTCACTTTAAGCTAGCACTGTTTAAAACTGCTATTTTCGTATTATTCCCACTTGCTACACTAGCGCTAATTCGGTGAGTTTTCGAACTATAATTTGCTGTTTACAGATGGATATTTTTTCAACTTGTCCCCTATACAAGATGGTACTCCTTCCTTCTAGTTTCCCTCACACACAGCCCACTGAGTTTCTCGCCGGATCTTCTCAGTGGGTCGCGTTTCCGATCCGGTGGTAGATTCTGCGAAGCACTGCTCTTGCTAGGGTTCGTGTTAGCAACGTCATCAGGTTTGAGCCCAGTGAGCTCCCCTACTAGTTAAGGCGACGCTGATATAGCCTCTCAAGGCTATCAGCTTAGGTAGGAAAAAAAATGTAGTTTCTATAATTTTAAGGAAGAACTTCTATTAATTCTAAGAAAATGCATAATTTTACTGTTTAAAATGTACAATGCTTAAGACGCTTTCACAAACAAAAAAAAAAAATTGTTATATTATATTATTTTTTTAATATAAAATTAACAGTAATTTAACAATAATTGCTTAAGCTAATATCTTGCTCTTGTTACGTAGTGCCGTATAGGCGACCAAGATTGAGATGAATGTTGCCAGTATCTCGGAGTTCACCCATGGCCCGGAGTAGCCTGGAGAAAAAATTGAGTTATCTTATTGGTCTTTTTGTGATTACTTTACATGGGAGGAGATCACAGCCCGTCTAGACTCACAAACAGATCACAATGACAATGTTACCTGTATCTTGAGATTGTGTGTGATGGAGATATCGTCTTCTCTCATTTTAAAACTGTATAATCTCAAAACATACTAATTTTACAGGAGAGTCTTTTAAAGGTTTAACATGTAATCTTTTTAATATTAATAATATTTGCAACATTCATTTTTTTTATTTTTTACCAGTTATTATCATTATCTGTTTTTTCAAGTAAGATTAAATTATGTATTAATTTTGTTAATAGTAGTCAAAACATAGGTAAACTAAAAAAAAAAAAAAAAAAAACTAAACTAAGCTCTTTTGACAGTATTTATGAGAAATATACTGGGGATACGATATGTTTACGCATATTAACTCAATCTCGAATATTTTTTTGAAATTGTACACTTTTAATGCGAAAAGGCGATATGTCGATCCATGACATTTTTATACCAGTAATAGGTAGAACAGTGGCGCTATGACTGCAGGAACCAGTGGTACCGCTTACTCCTTTTAAATCAACTCAACCTCAACTCCCCTCCACGGTGTCACTCGAGTACTATGACATGACATGAGATGATGAGAAGGACATTTTTCTTCTTCAAACGAGGCGACTTGCGGAGAGTACTCAATGGTAGGCCGAGGGTTGGCTCTACTCCTGGCACTGTTGACGTCCTTGAGCGACGGTAACCACTTACCATCAGGTGGGCCGTAAGCTCGTCTGCCCACAAAGGCAATAAAAAAAATTGATAAATTTATCATGACCAATAAACCCACATTGAAATGTGATCAATCACGTTTCATTGACACTATTGCTTATACTCATTAAAACACATTTATTTTCCAGTGAATCAATCGGGAATTCACATCTTTTTTTTTATACCTTACATCTATACTAATATTATAAAGAGGAAAGATTTGTTTGTTTGTTTGTTTCGAATAGGCTCCGAAACTACTGGACCTATTTGAAAAATTCTTTTTCCATTAGAAGCCGACATTGTCACTGATGAACATAGGCTACTTTTTTTTTATTTTTTGTTTCATGTGTGTTTTAATGTTTCCGAAGCGAAGCGAGGGCGGGTCGCTAGTAAGTAATAAAGCTCATGGCATGTCCAGTAGTTACGGAAGCCTTTAGACATTAAATATGTGAATCCCGCTTTCTGCTTTGAGAGATGAGGTCCAAGTCTCAAATATACCTTTACTGTAACTGTCCCTCTCTTCAAATTGGGACTGGATTACTGCTTTGCGGCAGAAATGGGCAGGGTAGTGGTGCCTACTAAGGTGGGCTCAAAGGACACCCTATCAGCAGTAAATAAAATAAATAATAGTTTAACTAACAAAATACGCTTTTATAGAAAATCCAACTAAGAATAGAAAAAAATTGGATATTATCAAAATAACCCTTCTACTCATTTGTTCATAAAATATTTATAACTACGGATGCCATGCACCCCGCGCTTTTTTTTAAATAAAATCATTTTTTCTTACACTATTTTTAAATCAAATTTATTAAAATTTATTTTCAATTTTTTAGTTGGATTTTCTATAAAAGCGTACATATTTTGTTAGTTTTTTTAAACTACTAATTATTTTTCATTTTTTAGTTGAATTCCAATTTTTCATTTTTTTTTTTAAATATTGAATTCTCATTAATCCTTAATAAGTATACCAAATTTCGAGTTAATCCGACGTTTTGAAGGGTGTCGAAATCATGTTCAAAGATTCCGTTACATACATACGTCTGAAGCTAATAAAAGTGTATTAAAAATAACTTACTGCCAGGATGACTGAGTTGTATGGCGAGTAGTGGAGCAACAGAGGCGGCAGGATCGGCACGTCGAGCACGACGCAGTGAAGCCCAGCCTTCTTCATCTAGAATGTTTATCTGGTGCACTCCGGAGCGAGCCTTCGCTGGTTCTTCTGTCCAGGAAATCTATGAAAGGGATTTAAATACTTAACACCATTGCTAATTTAGATTCAAATATTATTTGAATATGCAGATGGATGGAAGAGCTGACAGCAAGGAAAGCAAATTACGTTCATCGTGAAATATAAATGAACAGCTATCTCTAGAGACAGGTGGTAAAATGACCTGAGTTGCTTAAGTTTTTACGGGAGATAGGACCTCTTGAGAGTCCTCGCGGGTAGGTACCACCACCCTGCCTATTTCTGCCTTGAAGCAGTAATGCGTTTCGGTTTGAAGGATGGGGCAGCCGTTGTGACTATACTTGAGACTTTAGAACTTATATCTCAAGGTGTGTGGCGCATTTACGTCGTAGATGTCTATGGGCTCCAGTAACCATTTAACACCAGGTAGGCTGTGAGCTCGTCCACCCATCTAAGCAAAAGTTGCAGTTGAGTATAATATTTTGACTGAACTGCTGTGTCGACCAATTGCCACATGTACCAGAACCGTGATAAATAATACCAATTGCTTATGGTCTGATCAGCTGTGTCGACCAATTAGCATGCGTGGCTCGAACCATTATAAATAATGCTGAGTGTGTATGATTGAAATGACTTGAAAGTTTAAAAATAATTTGTAAAATGTACATGACTTTTAAACATGAGATTATACCATCACATAATATATTTTTTATAGAAAAAAAATTGGATGTTTGTTTTTTTGCTTTGTAAATTATTCTTATAATTTTGACGAAACTTATTATATAGTAGTATATTGCAGGTAGTTTTTATAGCACTCCATGGAAATCTTTCCTGTCATTGTACTGTCAAAGTATAATACATGTGAACATTTTATATTTCAATAATAATACTAATTAAAAATTTATATTGGAACAAGATCAGGTCTCACAAATGGTTCAAGGTGGAAATTGTATTATCTGTTGTGGTTTAAAAAAAACTTAGCATATATAGAATGCAGGAAAGTTCTTTTTTTAAAGCTAAATTGAAGATTTAGAGATTTTAGTTCAATTAGAATTTTGTTCAATCTCTGATTTTGGGAACATTGTTGTTTTGTCAGATTTAAAAGGGTTGATTGGTTGAGACCATTAAGTGTTACTGTAGTGTCTAGTATAGTTATTATATCTTCAAAAGCTAAACAACGGAATCTAGGAAAACCCTTATATAATATAGACATCGAATATTATTAAAAGAAATGAAAAGTTGTCCTTAATCAAAACCGCTTTTACAGTTGAAGCGGCCAATTGCCTCGAAACACGAAAGCTTATGGTTTTGGAACATCAGAAATAATAAAATTGAAACAATACAGTCCAAAATATATAGTTAAACTACTTTTAAGTGTGGCTCTGTCTCGGGTTTACCGAGGAAATATGATTAACTTACCTGATATTTGTTTTCACCGATCCTGGCGGCCGTTAGTGATTTTCCATCGACTTCAGCGTACAAACCGTAGTTCTCGGGCAGAGTATTGTCACATTTAAGCGTAAATTCGGTTATATAGGCTATTTGTGTGACTACCGTGGCATCTAAACTAGTGAAATATGAAGCTTCAACTTTAGGGTTCTGACAGGATTCGGCGCAAATACCGCCGATAAGAGCTATTGTGATAATATAAATAAAACTTTTTGTGACCATTTTGTTATTTGTGACCTTAAAGGTAAATCTAATTTTAAAGTTTGAGACTACAATTCTCACTCCTTTACAGCCGTCCACGTATGTTGTGTTCGAAAACGTCTCTTCAATGTCTACTTAAACATCAAACAATCAAATATTTCACATTAATTTTTTAATTTCCAAAGTTATATTATTTCATAAATATTTTGTTTTTGTAATCTTCCCAATCACAGTATTGATTTTAAACTATTTCATGTACGTAAAAGCATAACTGATGTTTTAAAGTAATTTATTCACACTATCTAAATTTTAGAAAGTGTTAAAAGTTGTCTTTAGAACGCAACTCCGAAACGTCAGCGGTTACGTGTGGCCAATTTACATTTAAAGATCGCGATCAGTATAATATATTTTAATAACAATGCATTCAAATATAAAAGTTTTTGTGAATTTTGAAAAACCATAAAATAATTCTTAAATCTTTCAGAATTCCAACGTATTTGTAAAAAAACTTTAATAATATTAATTTGTCATGTGTAATTAACTTTTTTCAGTATAGTAATCGTCTTCTTACGATACCATTGTTGCCTGTGTTGAAGTTTAAAAATATTTAAAATAAAAAATCTATACTATTATAAAGCTGAAGAGTTTGTTTGTTTGGTTGAACGCACTAATCTCAGGAACTACTGATCCGATTTTATTTTTTCAGTCTTAGATAGCTCATTTATTGAGGAAGACTATAGGCTGGCTATATAACATCACGCTAAGACCAATACGAGCGAAGTACTAATAATGTATCAATGTCGTTTTTTTGCCTTTTGAGAGCTTCCACTGCGCGCTGCGGATACGGTTAAAGTTTCGCTAAGATAATGTATGACAGAATAATGTCCCTTTAAAAGTTCTATGCCTATATTTTAAGATAGGCTCACTAGAACCTTTTTTATGCTAACCAAATTTGTTCTAAAAAAAAGCATTATTTGTGAAGGTGTTTTCATAAAAATCATATTAGTCCTTATCCAAATAAATGTGTATTACAGGTATTTAACTTAAAAGAAATTTTCGCTGTCTATCATTTGATTTTAATGAGTATCTTAGAAGATATCGCAGCTATAAAATAACATCTCAGCAAAATAATGATCAAGCGCGTAATAATGATGTAGAAGGCGCCGGCCGGCCAGTGCGCAGTACAGAATAAGAAGAATATTGTTACGCCGGTAAGAGTAACGCCATGTATCGCCGAATAGTCGAACGAATATCGAAGGATCTAGTAGCGCCCAGAACGCTCGAGAAGTGCAACGCCATCTATTGGCAGATAGCGGAAACTACTACTAGAGATGTGTAGAATATTCTCAATAATTCTAGGGATGTCATATCGGCTATAAAAGCGTTGCAGAGATGGCACGCAGTCAGTCAGTAATCAGAACTAATCGAAGCGAAACAGCGAACGGATCACCTGAAGCGAAGCGGAATAAGCGAATTGAGATTTTTAAAGTGTTTGTGAAGCGTTTTAAGTTCTAAGCGTTGAATACAGTTTTAAGTTGTACTTTGGTGAAATATTATTTATCCCGAACCCCAGCGCGTAACAATAACAAGAAACACACAAATCACTTCAAGATAGGCTTTGAAAATTGTAGATTTTTCTCGATATTCCCAGGATCCCATCATCAGGTCCTGATCCTGATGAATACATGACCATTCGAGATTGGCCTTAGCAAGAGCAGTGCTTTCCAGAATCTACCACAGGAATCGAAATTGCGACCAACTTTTTATTTTATTTTTTTATTACCTTAGCACGCAGACGAGCATACGGCCCACCTGATGGTTAGTGGTTACCGTCACTCATGTACGTCAGCAATGCCAGGGGCGGAGCCAAACCGCTGCTTACCGCTAAAATGATCTGAGAGGATACGGCGAGAACTCAGTAACCTGTATTTATGGATTATAAGTGTTCATATTTCACGAATCCAGGCAGAGTGGTGGTACCTACCCGTGCGGACTCACAAGAGGTCCTACCACCAGTAATTACGCAAATTATAATTTTGCGAGTTCGATTTTTATTACACGATGTTATTCCTTCACCATGGAAGTCAATCGTGAACATTTGTTAAGTACGTATTTCATTAGAAAAATTGGTACCCGCCTGCGGGATTCGAACACCGGTGCTTCGCTAGATACGAATGCACCGGACGTCTTATCCTTTAGGCCACGACGACTTCAGAAGGCGTGAAGGCTAATGAAAGCGCTTCGGCGATGGCTTCAACAGTTGCGCATCTTATACAGTAATTTGAATAACAAAAAGATTTGATCAGTCTCTTAGTGGATGTTTTATTTAATTCTGCACGAGGCAGCCATTTTTTTTTAGAATACGACTGAAATGGAAAAGGTAAGGTATCTAACCGTCAGATAAGGTTAGGACTTTTTGGCGGGAACGCGAGGAGTGAAGTTGTGTGATTTGTTTTGTCTATTTAGCGTTTCTTCAGATTTAAATTTGTAATAATGGTGGTTTATTAACTGTTTAATATCTGTGAAAGTGCACAAATGTGGGAAAATGAAACAAAGCCGCTGGACGTAACTTATCGGGATCCTCCAAAAAGTCTACTGAAAAAATTTCAGTAAATGACCATAATTTTACTGAGATTATAATATTTCATCTCATTTCATTTAATTTCATCCCAGTTAATTAATATCTCAAATTAATCATCTACATTTCATTTCATTTTATTTCAATTCACTCCATATTATAATTTTTCATATAAATAAGGTAAAAAATTAAAATAAGACTTGACTTAAAGGTTTTAGTTGCCAGGTCATAAAATCCCTTAAAAAAAGATAAGGTTAGAGAGGTTAAAAAAAGTTTTACGCAGTCGTTTAGTGGATGTTTATTTAATTCTGCACGAGGCAGCCATATTTTTTTTAGAATACGACTAAAATGGAAAAAGTAAGGTTAGAAAGGTGCAAAAAAAAATAATGAAAGACCCAAATATAATTTATCCGTAAAGGCCTATATTTATTTATTCATTTATTTATATATCTGTTGACGTGTGCCCGTGTGGAAGTACCAGGCGCTCAGAGGCGCGAGGAGCTCGCCGGTCGCCGAGGAACTGAAAATTAAATAAAGGGGGCGTCGGCGGGTGAGGGCGCTCGTCAGTGGGTGCCGGGGGGGGTCTTGGCGGGGGACGCGGGGGGCGGGGCGCTCCACTCCACGCCCTCGCCCTCGTACTGCGTGTTCTCCAGCCGCGTGATCAGCCGCTCGTCCTCGTCGCCGAACTCGCCGCCCATCAGCGACGGTTCGCCTACTACCATCACGTCCTGGAATCACAAAGAACACTTCCTTTAGCTTCATGGTACCCTGGTACTTTTTGATTTTGAATAGTATTAAGATTGGCCATGAGTTACTAGGCTGCACTAAAAGTATCGGGAATAGAATATTTCCACTGTTCCTGTCATATTAAAATCTTTTTAATTGAAAACTCCTTGGTTTTAAAAATCGAATACCATTTATTTATTTAAAAAAAGATTCTCGGTCCTGTCACGAGGTTTTGTCAAACTTGTTTAGTCGTTGAGAATAAGTGTATAATCTATGGTTGAGAAAATGGAATTGACTCGAGAAAATTCAAGAGCGATGATTTATTATGACTTTCGAAGTGGTTTAACACAAAAACAGTGTGTTGACCGGATGATTTCTGCATTTGGTGATGAAGCCCCATCCAAAACCACAATTTATCGCTGGTTTGCTGAGTTTCAACGTGGACGTGTCAAGCTCAGTGNCGACCAACCCGTAATCCTCACTGAGTGGGGGGCGGTGGCCGCTGCCGCAAGGCACGGGGTCGCGAGGACGTAAACCTCTATAAAAAATACCCCAATCCCAAGCTCCGATGCCCGGTGAAGGGATGAATGGCTGGAGGGAGTCCAGTCCCGAGGGCATCACCTGATCCCAGGGGACCTCACCCCTGGTTAAATAAGAAAGGAAAAAAAAATGAATATGGACAATTGTGAAACAGTATTACCCCAGGAGGGTACCTCCCGCTCAGCGGGAGGAGAATCCCTCCGTGCCTCCGAGCAATCGGAGGCACGCTGTCCCTCGTATTCTGGGGGGGGCAACAATTGCCTAGAGGAAGGAGGCGGCAGCACGAGCCGCGAAAAAGATCTATTCGTGCATCCTGAGCGTTGCGACAGTGCACTCTCACTGCGCTCGACGCGAAGCTCTGCGAGGGGCTACGCGTCGAGTGGTCGAGAGTCGCCGCTTTTGCTTCGGAATACTACCGGACGGTTCGCCAGCAGAGCCAACGCTGATGCGAAAACTCGGAGGAAGCGGAA